CTTGATTAGGGAATTGGCCCTGGCCATAAAAATTTGACAGCAATTGGTCCTTAATCCGGAATCTGTCCATCAACCAAGACGACATTTCGTCTTCGGACTCTGGGATACTGTCGAGGGAGATTCGGCTGACATGGATGTGAACTTCAGAAGGATCCACTCCATAGACATTGTCCATAAAAGATGGGCAGCGGTATTTGTAGCCAATGGTCACATCATAAACTAAAATCAAAACAGTATAGAAACTTGAAATTTACTCAGAGTTGAAGCACTTCTAGCAATCATTTTACAAACGTTTATGAAAGAAAGAAACGGATGAATATACAGGGTTGTTTCCAAATTCCTCGGCAAATAGAAAGTACTATTAGAATCAGCAACTTCAAATATTTGCACTGGTATTCTCTCCTAATTTCGTATAAGTGCCATTAAGGGGCTGCATATGCTTTATCATTGAAAAGGGGAAAAAAAAATGCAATTCAAGATCTGCAGCTATCAAGCGGCATATTCATGAACTAAAAAATAACATATTCTGCAATACATGCTAAAGGATACAAGACAGATATTACGGCTTCATCAGGCACTCGTACTTTCCCAAACCAGCAAATGAAAAGAACAAGAGATTACTAGGGATGGTAATAGTCCAGAACCAATTCTGCAGTGGTCGGCACTGTCTTGCTCTTCTTATTTTGCCTAGTACCTATTTCATAGACTCGTGAGGTTTTTTTCCTTCTACTGCTTACTTGAAGCTGGGAGTATTCTATTGTCTTATATCTGTCTTTTCTCCCCTCAAAACAAATTAAGAAAATAATTTGACTTCATAATAAAACCATTTTCAAATGGTATTGTTTCTTCTAGAACTTCTGTGTGGCAACGTATTTCTGTTCAAACTAGAAGGAATTATAGCTTGATGCATAAACTTAGGGTGACCATGTTTTGTGCTATGCTCTATGTTATTCGGCAGGTTAGGAGTGCTTTAGTTTTCTGAAGAGAACTCCTAAATACTGCTCAGATCTATCAAACAGGTCAGAGCAAGTCAAGCCTAAATTGTCATCTCTAGAGACCAGGTGGTGCATAATTCTTGTATAAGTCAAAGGAATGCCTAAAAAAGGAAGCATAACAACTACATCTAACGTTCAATAGTAATTAGAGGTAGAAAGAAAGAACAACCTGCATTCAGGGAATCCCTCATTTCCTGCAAGCAGGTGCAGAAGCCCTTTGTCCTTGGAAGCAAAACATGCTTCAGAATGGGTAACCCATGTTCAGCAGCATATTTTTGACTCCGATCACACTTCTTCTCACTACATTAGGAAACAGAAAAGTGGTCAGAAACTATCAACAGAATGCTACAAACTACATAGTTAAATATGCTTCATTACATAATAACATATATAAGCATCCTTCAAACTTGCACTCGGACGCTGCCGGCTGCATTATCGTCTATCTAATCACATACAAGCAGCCTTCTCATTCTGGGAATCACAATCATCATGAGCATATACATGTACCAAGTTTTAGTTGATAACCATAACATAGGAAAAAAAGAAAAGAAACTATGGACAAGTGGCTTACGTGAAATCAGTGCCTTCTGGAAAGAGAGCAAGCCAAAGTGGATCTCGAGGATCCTTGAAAGTAGAGAGCATACTATGCATGGTTGATTCATCAACCTCCCACTTCCTTTCAACTGGGATGAATTCCAGTATGTGAAATGCCCAACCAAATACAGGGAGTCTCATCAAGCTGCTCTTAAGAATATATCTTATGTATCCAAGGCATCCCTTTCGCAAGGCAAGGTCCCATAAATACATCCAATCAACTTCAGTTCTATGGTTTGCAATCAGCAATATCCGTTCTCTGGACGGTACAATGTCTCCAGAAAATATGACTTTAGTCTTGTTTATCTTCTCAAAAAGGAAAGGCCACAAAGCTAGCCAAGCACCAAAGAAAAAGGAAGTTGCCTTTCTGCTGTAATGTATGCTAAATAGTCGCACTATAACAGCACTAGTAAAGCCAAAGTACACTAACATTATAAATGCAGTGGAAAACAGCACCACTAGACACACCAGACCCCTTAAAACTTTCAGCGGAGTCAGTGCGTGATGCTGTACAGGAGTAAGAGCCGCCATATGCTACTAAAGATTATCACAGACTGCAAAGGCAAGGTAACAATGTTTCTTGAAAGTCACGTCCTTCAGGAATAATTAAATTTAATCATTTTCTCAGGGAATCAGTACTCTTAGATGGCATGCAGTATATTACAAAGCTCATCTAGCTTATCTTGATACATCTGAATTTCTTTGAGAGAAAAAAAAGCTCCCCATTCAAGGCTTCTAGCATCAATGCAACCAAAGTTTTTGAAAGCTGTTCTTTCCTTCTAGGTGATCCAGTTAAAGATGGATATGGGACAAGTTTCGCAAAAATAGGACCAAAACTGAAAGCTGGTAGTAGAAGCTTAGGGCATCATATCTTTACCCTGAAGAAAGAAAGTTTGGAAAAAAATGAGTGGTGCAAAGTATCACAAAATATGAATAAGCAAATAACTTGTTATAGCATTGACATATCTATTAAGAGGAAAGAATTGGATGATGGCAGAAATGGTCACAATGGCCCATGAAGTTTTGCACCTTGATAAAGTCCCATAGACAGATACACTCGATTAGATTAAAACTGAAAGAGAAGTTACTTGTTGATGGAAAAGCCCAATTTTCCTAGATAGGTAAATATGAGTCTGTTGGGAAGGGCCAGAAAAATCCTAATTTTACCTACATCTGTTAGGTTAAAATCTTTCGATTCTGGGACACTTGGGGACGGGAGACTGTTATTGCGGGCATAATCAGGAAAGCACATGGCATAATTTCCTAATGATGCCAGAGGTACTTGCTGGTTTTGCCATCATAGTTCTATTGATTGATTTGTAGATAACAGAAAAAATAAAAATAAATTTCAGGATTTCAATTCCATCTTATTTGGACACATCTATACAAATTCATGATTAAAAAGGCATCCTTCCTCTTGATCTTTTCTCTTGGGCTTCACCATAAGGCATTTTAATAGTGCATATCTAAAATCAAGCGGAAACCATTTCCTTCAAGTACGATTACATAAAACTGCACCTTCCAATACACTATAATCACATCGAAAGACGTAATATCTGATGAAGCTGTTAATGATCTTGTGCTCATAACAAAGCAGACATTAACCAAACATCATCAAGGATACTTACAGTTCCTTTCTTCATTTTCTCTTAAAGAATAAGGAACAAATAGGGTCAAATCCCATTGGCCAAAAAGCCTAATGGTTGCCCAGAAAACCCAGGAAAAAAAGTACAGTTATTCAAAGCATGAGTTTTTGGCTAAAAAGGAAGTACGAAATTTAGAAACAACAGCAGTAACCCCATGCAATGTTGAGGAAACCAAAGAATCTACAAAAGGCATTCAGCCATTATGGGGTAAGGTAGAAAAACAATGAACTTAAACCTCATTCTGTTCTTTACCATATTTCATCATTTTTTTCCAGCACTCTCTCGGGCCCCAAGCAGATCGTGAGATCAGAAAGCGCAATGAAGCGGGCAGGAAGCTGACCTGGTAAGGACTAGGGAGAATCCAACAAGGTGATTGGTGCGATAGGCTCCAGAGGATAAAAGCGACGTCGATACACCCATGCTTCTGCAATAATACCCTGTGCACTGTTCCAAGCTAAGCTAAGCTAACAGCAGAGGATGAAGGGACTGGCTTAAATTTAACTCGTACTTCGCAAGAAAATAGCCTGCTAAATGCATGAAATTACGAAGCTTGCCATGATTCCATAAACTGTCCAGTGTTCTCGAAAAAATTAGTAGTTTCCAGCTTTCTTTAATAGTTTTTGACAAAATTATATTTTCTCCTGAGTTTCATTCCGGAAATTTCTTTTTTTTTTTACCAGAGATTCCGGAAATTTCTTGACTACTTTATTTCTGCGAAAAACTTCTTGATGTCAGTACTCTTTTCTTTTATACACAATATAAATTTTCTTTCGAATTTTGTGTTTAATCGAGAGATATTATTTGCTAAAATTAGGATATATTTGTCTGTTTACCTTTTTTAAAATTTAATATAAATGTAAGTATACACCTGTAGATTCAATGGTTTGATTCATAAGCTCTGATATTAAGAAAGTTTATCTTGCATTAAACTTCGATAAAGCTGCGATCAGGGAAATTGATTTACAAGTGAAGACCACTTATCTTCCCGTAAACAGCACAGTATAACGTAGCAGAGGATTTGCTTTTAAAAGTTTTCATAAAAATAAAAGAACCAATACAAAGTTTCATTATTTCTGGACAAGATAACGTATTTTATTGAGTTTTACATCATTTGCATTTTGCAGGTCAACTAAATATGACTGTACTCTCGCATATTCAATATCTTTATAATTATAATTATTCATTATGTTAAGCTTTTATACTTATGCATTTTTTATAATTTAAAATTTTATATTTGATAGGGTTAATATAATCTTCGGTCTCTTAGACTTATCCTTATTTTGGTTTTAGTTTTTTAAATTTTAAATTATAAGTTTTAACCCTTTAAAAGGCAAAATAGTTCAATTTTTTATCAGATTATAAAAAACTAATATTTAAATAAAAAATTGAAGAATCAAAATATATAGTTAAAACTTAAGGAATCAAAACTAAAATGAACGTAAATTTGAAGAATCAAAGTTTGTATTAACTAATTTGGAGGATCAAAGTTTGTATTAACTTTATTAAAATATTAACTAATGATAATCACACTCATGAGAAAAAGAAGGGCACATATATATATATAGAAATTACTAATAAATTCTAATAATAAAAAAACGGTTGTCATTTAAAGGTTGATATGGAATTATTAAAACTTTTTAATAATTATATTTTTACCTGACAATTCAATTATCCCTCGTTTTTAGTAGTTTTTATATTTTATACTGTAAATGGATTTAAATTTAAATGAAAAAATGGTCGTCACTTTAGCTTGTTCGGCGTGACTGCGGAGACTTAACCTTCAACTCGGTTTTTCTTCTCTGCAAGCAAAGCAATCCTCTTTCGAACTTTCCAATATTGCTCTCACTCATGGAGGTTGATTTTAAGGCGTATCAGTTGCGATGTGAACTTAGGGGCCATGAAGACGATGTAAGATCTGCCACCATTCGAATTTTCATCGTTTATCTAGTGATAGGGTGTTCAATTTGGTTTTCGTGGACATTCAGTGGCTTCATTTTAAAGTGATTAGACCTGGCAATTCTATATATTTTTTCTCCTGAAATTGATTCATCCTTGTAAATCAGGTTCGTGGAATTTGCGTGTGTGGCAATGATGGCATTGCATCATCTTCTAGGGACAGAACTGTTAGGTTCTGGACTCCAGACTCTTCGGACCAGCGCAAGTTCTCATGTTCAAAAGTTTTGCTGGGGCATTCGAGTTTTGTTGGACCGTTGGCTTGGATTTCACCGAATGAGGACTATCCAGAGGGTGGGATTGTGTCTGGAGGCATGGACACTCTTGTATTGGTCTGGGATTTGAAGACGGGGGAGAAGGTGCAGACACTCAGGGGTCACCAGTTACAGGTTACTGGCGTTGCATTGGATGATGGGGATATCGTATCATGTTCTGTTGATTGGTGAGTTTTAAATTTGATCCGTTCTTTTCCTTTTGGTTTATGCATCACGTTCCCTATGATGTTGTAGAAGTTAATTGTTTGCATATGGTCGTTTCCTCAGTTGACTGGTAATTGGTTGATTATGATGTTCATATTGGAGGTTGGGGGTAATCAAGTCTGGTAGGTAAATGAAGTGGTTCGCCAGTTTGTTGCATTTAACACTATAAAGATTCCCCGCCCCCCCCCAATTTACGACTTCCGATGACTTTTAGTTTATATAGAGACGTTCCTTTCATGTTCAGATAACTTCAAAACACTTGTGGTTATTTTCGGAAGTTGCATTTCATGTCATCGATATGAGTTACGAAATTTTATGATATTTTCTGTTGAAGTTTGCATTTCAATTAGGCAGCTTTCCTTCAAAGTGTATTTGTTGCTATATTTGCTGCAAAACATTTGGAGAGGATCCATGTACAATCTCACAGGCCTTAAATCCCTAATACGTTATAATTCATAAAGAATCCCTTATAGCCATTATATTATATCCTCATACTATATTATTTATCTATTCTTTTAAGACCAGTGATATCAGGAGAGTAAAATTTTATTTTCCCTGGGTTCCTTAACTAAAAACATATGATGGTTAAAAGATATCCTAGTTTTGGAGCTTTCCCTGTTAAGTGCTTGGGTAACACAGTTATATAATATGTGATAGGAGTGTTGACTCTTCTATCCTGTCCTACGCGTTTTGTGAGAAGCCCAGTGTTAGTTTCTTAGTCGCCCTGTCTCTGGCATGGGAGGAACTGAGGGCTCATGAAGAGAACTTCCTTCAGTTGACAAACTCATACACTAGATTCCAACGATTTTATTCTGGGAAGTTGCTTGTGTAGAAGCCAGTTTCACTAAGCATAGTCCAAGGTCCTGGGAAGGGCACAAATTATCCTTAAAGCTGGTTCCTAGAGTGATCTGTTGCGTTGCTACTCCTTTGTATATCCTATTCTTCTAGTCAGTGAGTTACTTAGTTGTCATCGTCTCACATATTTAGTTTTCCATTTACTCATAGGATAGCAACTAGATTCTCTTTATTCCACTTTTAATTTCAACAACCCAAATTATGCAAATTTACTGCTGGAATCATGTCAGTGGATTTTGGACTAATGTATATGAAAATTTCTTCTCTAGCTCTCTTATCTTCATTTCTCATCCTATGCAGTATGTTGAGACGGTGGAGGAGGGGGCAACCTCTAGAAAATTGGGAGGCTCACAAGGCAGCAATTCAAGCAGTTATAAAGCTGCCATCAGGCGAGCTTGTTACAGGTATCATTAGTTGTTAATTTATTTTTTCAAGACCCTTATCTCATCTATCAGGTTATAGTCATGGTTCTTAGCAAGCTTTAAACTCATGGTGTTTTGAGGTACATGCAGGGGTTCACATCTCATTACATGAAAACTACTTTTCCTCTGATATTATAATCATTACTGAATTATTGAACCAGTCTGGGACTGAAGGTAGTAAAGTAATTTTAACTTATCTTCTGACACGTTCTAGGTTCGAGCGACACAACTTTAAAACTTTGGAGAGGAAAAACTTGTTCACGTACCTTTACTGGACATACAGGTTTGATTTTCTGTTTCTAGACCAATTATACTGTATTATACCAAGTTCTTTATTCTCTATATGAGCATAAAGTTACATGACTTTTAGAAGTGCTTATTCTCTTTTGACATATGTTCAGATACAGTTCGAGGTTTGGCTGTGATGTCTGATCTTGGAATTCTTTCTGCGTCACATGATGGGTAGGTTCACTTCTGCATGAACTCTTCTATTTATGTTGAATATTTGATTCTTTATAAGTATATATTATCTACTGTTGTGCCTGTAGCACATCATTTTAAAATTTTTTAAATGGAGTTTCATTGTTACAGGTCTGTTAGATTATGGGCAGTAAGTGGTGAAGTGCTGATGGAGATGGTTGGTCATACTGCAATTATTTATTCTGTTGATTCACATGCATCAGGACTTATTGTCAGTGGTAGCGAAGATCATCATGCAAAAATATGGAAAGGCAATTGCTTGTGCTTCTTGCTCCTTGTCATAGAGATGTGTCGTTGGAAGATTTGTTGCATGGCTCTTAAGCTTCCTGATTCTTGGATTTTTCTGACTGCATTTCTCTCTCTTTAAATAATTCAGATGGCGTTTGTGTTCAGAGCATAGAACATCCTGGTTGTGTTTGGGATGCCAAATTTCTAGAAAATGGTGATATTGTGACAGCATGTTCTGATGGAGCTGTACGTATTTGGACTGCACATCAAGAAAATGTCGCTGACCCACTTGAGCTTGACTTATACACTTCAGAACTTTCTCAATACAAGTCTAGTAGGTATGACTGTTTGTCAGATGTCCAAATCTGGTTTTGCTAATATTTATCTTTGAGACTAGCATGCCCTTGCAATTGTTAACATGGTATTTCCTATCACATAAGCTGTCCTTGTTTGGCTTTTGATTTTTAAATCATTGAATTATGGAAAATATAAAGTTCTTCTGTCCTTGGCAAATAAATTGGGGACTTCTTCTGATAATGACATGCTTGGATATGCTTTGTCGGGCTTACTCATTAACTTAGCCATATCTGTTTCTTTTTGCCAGAAAGAGGGTTGGAGGACTGAAATTGGAAGAGTTACCGGGTTTGGAGGCATTAAAGATCCCAGGTCTGGTTTTAGTTTTTTCTCCTTTTCCTCCTTTTATGTGTACAAATACAGTTTGTCTGTGTCAGCTGATTGTTTTTGTTTTTAATTTTTTAAGCATACCACATACCATGTTCAGTTCTCAGCATCCTTCTCAGTGGAGGAGGCCAAGATTGTAACATACACCATAGCATCTAACATCTAACAATTTAATAATTTAAGGATTTTATAAATTCAACAATCTTGTAGACCTCAGTTTTAGGACTTAAGTACTGATTTATGATTCTATAGTTTAATTATGATAAAAGAAGAAATTATATTAAGAAAGAGAAGAGATGCCGAGGAGAAAAATTTCCTGGACAAAAACAAGGCATATTTTTTATTCTGTAATTTAAATTGTGCAAATTAAGATGGTGGCCATGGCATTGTTTTTATTTTCACAAACAATAAACTATGTTGAGAGTTTCTTAAACAATCCAGGGTTAGTTTGTACTTCTTTCTCCATTCTAATTATTATGTTCTAATAGTCCTCTGATTCCAAACAGGAACAAGTGATGGCCAGACAAAGGTAGTTAGAGAGGGGGATAATGGGGTGGCATATGGATGGAACATGAGAGAACAGAAGTGGGACAAAGTATTTCCCTCACTTATAATGCCCCTACTTTTGCTTTTGGCTTTCTGATTCTCTTGCCATGTGATTCCCCTGTTCTATTTTCTCAATATGTCTACTCTCTTTTTGTTGTATTATGAAGTGGTTACCTTAATGTAATTACCATTTAGAGATCTGCACTCTTTAACAATTGTTTGGTTATGATTCACATGCCATATAGTAATGATCACATCCTAAGTCTACGATGGAATTATTCACCTAGCTACACTGACAGAACCTTAAATTAGGAAGTCTGTAGAAGGATGAGATAAAGAGATATTTATGGAAAGGCTTAAAATATAAAAGGAAAAGTGAGCACATATTGACATTTTGATAGTTTCAAAACTTTAGGAGAGAAGTAAATAGATTTTAGCATAGTTAAGCTGAAATGAGAAATAAATAAAATTGACATTTATTGTTATATTTCACCTAACCCGCAGGATACTTTAGCCACACACAAATCACAAGTTGCAGTGCCAAATAGAATTAATTTGCAAGGTTTTTCATTTGGGTTTTTATGGGAAAGCATATTTGACATGCACTTATTTGCTGGCTTTAATGGCTTTATTTGTTCCCTTATATTTCTTAGTTAACGGCCATGATTCTTGAGCATTTGGTACACACATTCTTCACAAGAATCACATGGATTTTTTTGTTGGTTAATAGGCTGAAGTTGAATGTTCTTCCTGGTCTACAAGTTTTTATGCTTCTTTTTTTTTCCCAAAAAAAAATTCAAAAAAAAAAAACTATGTTCATGTTTGTTTCCTTCTGAGGATGCTTGACTGAACCTTCTGCGGCCTACATTCTCCTATAAATTTGTAACTTTTGTTTCTGAAATAAAATAAGGAATTTCAAAACGAAATTCTTTGGTTTTTATAGCATAAAATTCTTCTACAGATTGGTGAAGTGGTTGATGGACCAGACAATGCAAATCGTCCTGTCCTTGATGGTGTTCATTATGACCATGGTCAGTTTCCCATTTCTTTTTCTTTCACGTTTGTTGAGGTTTACCTTCTTCACGCTCCTGTCTCAGAACTCACACATCTCTCTCCTCAGTGTTTGATGTGGATATTGGAGATGGTCTTCCTATCCGTAAGCTGCCATACAACCGATCAGGTACCTTTTTTTCCTGCTCATCATGAGGTTTTCACTTCATGTGAACATCAGTATTTTGGTTTGACTATTTAAATATTTTACACTTCATGTGAGAAAGAGAATTACTGTTTGTGTGATCTCTAAAGTGTTTCTGTCTCAAAGGATAACTTTATATCCGTTTGGCTTTTGCAATATCAGTAAAACTACATTATTTATTGATTATAATTTGGTGATTAGTAATGAATTTTTTATGCTACTAGATAATCCATATGATGCTGCTGACAAATGGCTTCTTAAGGAGAATCTTCCTCTGTCCTTCCGTGAGCAAATTGTACAGTTCATACTTCAAAATACTGGACAAAAGGAGATGACTTTTGATGCATCTTTCCGTGATCCCTATACTGGCTGTAAGTATGATATCTCTGCTTAACAAAAGCTGATGTTTATTTAAATCAAATCCCTGTAGTTTAACTTGTTTACTTGATTTTTTATATCCTGTATTCTGTTTCAGCCAGTGCTTACATGCCTGGACAACCTTCATCCTCTGGTAAAATAATTCACCTCACTCAAGGCCCATAATCAATTTTTTGTCTCGGGAATATTGTTTTTCCTGTGCCTTATGACTCAGTTCTCACTTAATTTTTTGTACCTTGCTTGGATGTCAGCTGTTTCTGCAAAACCTACTTTCAAGCATATCCCTAAGGTTTGCTTTCATACAATTTACTTTAGTAGTTATAATTACTTTTAGTCTTTAAAAACAATTTTGTGTACTGTACTATAGCATATTGAGAAAGGAATTTGTGAATTATACACTATGCTAATTCTGTGATCTGTCTTTATGTATAAATTTTTTTCCGCTTCACTACATGGATAACATGTCTCTGGGTATTGCTCATTAGTGAAAGGAAGGACTAATAGATGTTACCCAGCGAGGCCTTAAATTTATTATGCTGTAAATTCATCCCAAGTTCATACTAGATGATGGCTCACTGTTCAGGAATTTTCCTTGATGCTCAACTTGTTTATGCTCTATCATCTGGGTTCATATTGTTAATAGTATTGTTATGATTATTACTAATTGATATATGAAAATAATGAGATGATGACAAACATTACAGTTCAAGTTATCATCTTTATAAATAGTAGCTCTGTATACAAGTATTTTTATCTAGTTAAACAGTGAGTTGTAATAGAGCAGCAAGTCTCTATAAAATTTGCTTGGATCTTTAAGCTATTATATTAATTTTGTATTGTTGTTCGTTATGATTATTTTATTTGATAGACTGGATTTGATAATGCAACTTGTGTTGCTAATTTGATTTTAATTCTTCTTACTTTTTTGCTTCTTCAAGCTAGCTTTTTTGTAATATGAAAGCCGATTTATGGTACCTTTTTTCTTTCAGAAAGGGGTGCTTCTTTTTGATACAGCTCAGTTTGATGGGATCCTTAAAAAGATTACTGAATTTAACAATTCTTTACTCTCCAACCAGGTAATCTTCATGATTAAGCAGTTTGAAAATTTCCCTCAGTTGTTTGTGTTACAAAATGGAGAAAATGTTTTTGTCACTAGGAGGTAGCATATCACAGATATCAAGCCACCTGCTAATATTCAAACTTCAGAATATGTGCTTGCTTCCTGTTTAATTTATTCATGGTCTTTCAAAGTTCAGGATTATAGCTCCTAGGAACAGTCAACTTGTTTTGTCGTCTTTGGAACCGGAAAAGTTAGTCTTCAAATTGAGCACTCTGCTAGATCAATAAACCTGAATATTTTAGCATGCATACTTGAAATCTCATTGCTTGTCATTATTACGGTTGTGATTCTATTCAGAATGCATGAGTTCTCTGAGTAATGCGTTTCTTATGTCAATCTCATACAGGAACAGCAGAAATTGGCTTTGACTGAGCTTGATGTTCCCAGACTGGGGGCCATTGTTAAAATTTTGAAAGATACTTCACATTATCATTCAAGTACATTTGCTGAGGTTGATATAGCCTTGTTGCTGAAATTGCTTAGGTCGTGGCCCATTGCCATGCTATTTCCTGGTGAGTTGATTTAGCTTCTGAAATTTTGCTCTTTTGCCATTCCATTTCATTGAACTTCATAAAAACAGTTTTGTTAACTTCTTTACTGTGCTTATGCAGTTATTGATATTATACGGATGATGGTTCTTCACCCAGATGGGGCCAACCTATTTCTAAAGCATCTGGAAGCTGAAAATGGTGCGTGTTTTACCACTATTTTTTAATATAATAATTTTTGGTTCACGTCTACCTTTACTATGTCAAGAATACATTACTTCTCACAGTTTCTTGTAAAACGCAAACCAATTGTACTGGCCATATTGTATCTATGGTTTATAATTATTTGTGTTTTTGGTGTGTGGAGGCCTCCTAGAGTTTCATAGCTGATTTTCCCCCATCCCTTTCTGTAGAGGTGGAATCTTTGTTAACTTTCTCCTTTTTGGCATCCAGATATATTATTGGAATTAATTAAGAAAGCCACGACAAATCCAACAATTCCTGCAAATCTGTTGACCAGTGTTCGAGCTGTTACTAATCTCTTTAAGAATTCGGCATACCACAGCTGGTTGCAAAAACATCGCAGCATGGTTAGCATCCCCTTCTTGCGATTCTTTTATAACTTAAAAGGACTAGGTAATAATTGCTTGGAAAAATGATGTTAATATATTCGGTTATGTTGTTTTTCTTCTTTGTAACTTTTGCAGCTGTGTGCTTTGTTTAGCATAATTTAATGAAAAAGGTGCATATAATTTGTCTTATGTATGGTGCTGCCTATTCTTCTATTTGAAAATTTTGCTAATTTTTTTATTATTTTATTTATAATGATGTGCATAAGCTTAGTTTCACCATTATTCTTTGGGACAAAGACAATAAAATATTTTAGAAATTGCTAAAGGACAAATTAGTGTGGGTCAATTTAATAATTTCAATTTATGTACCATTTTGGAATTTTCAAAACTTGTAAAATTACACAAATGCCCTTTACTATTTTTTAAAATATTGCCACCTCAGCACTTCTGACTACTAGAGCTCTGACGCCGGCGACCTTGCTGGTGGCCAGCTACCGAAGCTTTGGCGACATGTCACAGGAACTCTAGTCATTGGTTGCCGGAGCTCTGGTGACTCCTCTGTCTTCTGTATTGACTATTTTTTTCAGCTATTGACTACATTTGTTTTTAGAACTCTGATGACTACTCTTGTTTAGCTACTGATTATTTTAGTATTGCGATTGACTACTTTCATTTTAAAAATTTTGGTGACTACTCTTGTTTAGTTATTGACTACTCTAGTTTCACTATTGGCTACTTTTGTTTCACAAATTCAAAAAATGCATTAAGTATTGTTGGAGATCTATTGATTATTTTTTGTTTAGTTATTTACTACTTTTGTGTAGTCAATAGTTATATAAAAGTAGCCACTAGAACTTTGAAAATAAAAGTAGTCAATAGTTAAGCCAGATTAGCCAATAGCTATATGAAAGTAGCCACCGAAATAAAAATATTGTTGTCATTTCACAATATTTTAAAATTTCAAAATAACAAAAGGGTTTGATTTGGGATTTTGAAATTCACCCACCTTAATTTGTTCTTTAGCGTTTTTTAGAGTATTTTAGTGTCTTTTTCCCTTTTTTTTTGGCATGTTTCTGATTAAATTGTGTAATTTACTATATAATTGCAGTTAATTGTTCTGTTCCATCTTTTAACATTTTCTTCCCTTTTTAGTGAAAAGGATTCATTCCAAAGGAATGTTGTGATTTTGTATGTTTTTTTTTTTTTTTCTGTTCCCTGTGATGGGGATACCATAAGTCCATTATTTGTGCTGAATACGCTCGTTGGTTGCAGATTATTGATGCTTTCTCAAGCTGCAGTTCATCAGCAAACAAAAATCTGAAGCTGTCCTACTCTACTTTGCTACTTAAGTAAATATTTTCTTGACTACGCATCATAGAACGTAATTAGAGGTTGCTTATTTTTGCTATAATATACCTTAATACCTTATTCACATTTTTAATGTATATTTCTCATGTCTAGGGTTAAGAAATTTTGCATATACTCCAAATTATAGACAAGCACTCTCTCTGTTCAGGTTCAACCATACTTTGGTGCTTGTTTTGTATTTCTTGAAGTGTGATTGGATAATTTTACTTCTCCTATCTGGAAAAGGGAAGAAGGGAGGGCAATTCTAGGAGCTTGGCCCTCCTCCATGCTTTGCCCTGGTTAACTTGCATAAATGAAGAAGTAGAGACCATGTTTTTTGACATGTTAAGATCTCAGTTTATGTTCCATTATTTCCATCATTGTGGTGATCTGCTCTAAGTATTGTTGTCAATGGCATATAACTGCAAATTGCAATATCATGGTATCTGGCATGGAACCCACCGCTGAAGCAATGTGACGATTTTTTGAATGATGTAAAATTTATTTTATACATCTATAAAAGGTGCATGAGAAGTATGAATATTGCGAAAAAAATTACAAAATTGAAATATATTTCAGCTAAAACTGAAGGCCATTCTTTGGTGGAAAAGGTAAAGAAAAGCGTCTCATGATTTTTAGGTATTCTGTATCGATTTTAAATTATCAATTTTATTCCATAGAGGAGCCAAAACATGCAGCATTGAATCGCCTTTACTCCTTTTAGTCTATCATGTTTTATTTTAACTTAGATGGGTTAAATGACCCTTATGCCTTACATAATCACAGTTTCTATGGCTGACTGTGAAATGTGAAAAAAAAATTAGTTACTTGAACGCTGGTGGATGCCATAGCAATAGGAACATAATTGACTGTTGCCGCAGACAAGATGCAACAGGGCTGACGCACTGTTGGCTACTCTGCTATGGCTGCCATGGTGGCTACCATTGATAACACAGACTTTAAGAATTGCAATCTGAAGGATCAATGATGTTTTAAGCTTGTACTAACCTTTGGTTTCATTTGACAATCACAGTTACGCGGTGCTGTTGATTGAGATGAAAGATCTAGAAGGTCAATCTCAAGTTTTATCCGCATCACTTGAGGTACGTTTGGCACTGTTACCTAGGGAAGATACTCAAATAAAGGAAGAAATCAGACTGTGGAAATGTGTGGTTTTTGACATTTTGTGCATTTCTAGGTCATATAAACTACTAGAGAGACCAATTTAGATGATTTTATTTCTTGTTGTTAGGGTGAGATTTAGGGATAAGGCGCTTAAATGCCTCGGAACTATCCATGAAGGAGCATCCAGTACCTAGAAGTTTTTTTGGCTTTTATATGCCTTAGAAGTTTTATTTTGTATCATTTCTGTCCCAAGTCGTTATTTGCCGTTGAGTTTGACCGTTAAAGCAGATAACAGTCAAACTTAATGGCAGATAATGGTGAGGATATTTTTACTACGAAATAAAACTTTCAGGGTATGTAAGAGCTAAAAAAAAAACTTCCAAGTGCTAGGTACTCTTTCATAGATACTTCCAGGGTATTTAAGCACCTTATCCCGTAAGATTTACTCCTGTACTAACTGATATGCTATTTTCCCCAGATTATAGAAGATGAAAATGTGGATGTTGATTCCAAATTCCGGGCTTTTGTTGCTGTTGGATCACTGGTAAGTTTATGTTTTTCATTTATTGAGTAGATGCAAAGTTGTCATTTATTGTGATGCAAGTGAAGCTTCTTTGCACATTGCAATTCAACTTCACGTCACTGATCTATTGCTTGTACATCACAATTTGTTTCTGTAAAGGGTGCACATGATCAATTAATTTATCACCCATCTACTGTCGATGCTATTAAGTTACGAAGCTAATCTTTTTTTGGGTTAGTGTCTAGGGTGTCATACCCTAATGGGATGGAAGCCCTTGCTTTAAATACACTGGAGTTTCTTAAACAAGGGACTGTTCTTATGTACTATGGTGCATCAATGATACGACAGATTCTTCTGATCTAAAGGAACTGCACCTTGGGCTGGTTTCTTTGTAGATATATTTATATTTACAGCAAAACTAATGGGAAGATGAGTTGCTTTACAAATTGCAATTGATTGTGTGCGCTGAGGGCCCCCCGCCCCCCTGGGGATGCTCTTATTTTCTTGTATAATAGGCTTTGCTCTGTGGCATTCTGCCTGCACTATAATTTCTTCCCGACTCAAACTATGATTGTCAAATCCTGTTGAAACAGATGCTTGAGGGCCTTGTAAAGAAAATAGCACTGGACTTCGATGTTTTGAACATTGCAAAAGCCGCCAAGAACTCGAAGGAAGTTAAAATTGCTGAAGTGGGAGCTGACATCGAGCTACTAGCAAGGAATGGTTGATTCTATTTTCAAGGGTGACCAACCTATTCTCTCCCTCCAAACCGAATATGAGCTATATTGGAAGTCCAACTTACATGTCAAACTTGAATTTTTTATTAATAATCTTCTGCGTGCTTGAGAAAGTACCCATGCAACCAAAACCCTCCTGAATTCATCATACGTGATGGTAATTTGTCCTTTCTTTTTTTGTTAGGATACTCTATTAAGGGTTTTTTTGACTGATGGTCAGTTGGCAATATAGGTGACTAGGGCCTGTGTTTACGTTATTCTGGCTGATGATTATTGTGGGAGTGTTTTGAAGGCTCGTAGAAGCCACGTGCCAAAACCCAGAGGATTCAATGACAATTAAACATCCCTCGCACCCCTGTCGAGAAAACTGCAGAATCTTTGTCCCACAATGGTTACTTTTCCTTGGGCACAAATTCTTGCTCCTACTCTTTGCAAATTCCGATGAGAGATTGCTCTTATTATTCTTTTTTTTTTGTTCCTCCAATAATTGCTCAAGTCGAATCATACACCCAATGGACAATTCCCATGCAGAGGTCACACCATATTTGGTACCATGATGAGTATAATCCGTTCCTGTCAACTTAAAATCGAATGCCATGTGTTGATTGTATTAGGATCCGTCCGTTGGGCTGTTTTACTTTACAAATTACGAGTCACCGTCATTCTTTGTTTTGTGGCTCAGATTTCTTCACTTTTATTTCCTTTCATAATTAATATTGGTTTAACTCACTATCACAAATTAATGCTAGGCAGAACAAATAATAATAGCCCATAGAGTAGCTTGTTTAAGTGAAAATTAAGTATACAAATTTGCATTAAAAAAAGGCCATCAATATTGACCAAGGGGAAAAAAATTAACTTCATAAATCAAGCGAGAAAAAAGTGTTAAGTAAATCAACATCGCAAAAATGTCATAACAACCCCAAATTTACAACTGTAAAGTATACAAATTCGATCCCAGAATTGGGCCAAAAGTCACTTCCACTTGGCGTAGAACTTTTCATCACCCCACATCAACATTCTTTTCAACGGGATCTGCACATTCCTCTGTGCAAGATGTAAATGCCTTGGAATAATCCTCTTCTCCAGACTAAACCCGAAGTACTGAGGAAACACCTTCAATTCTTCCACACTCCGTTTCATATGATTCACTAGATACTCAAATTTTGGCAACATATTATTCTCAAGCCCATATCCAAAAATGGCCGGATCTCTCGCACAAGCATTTGCCGCTTCCTCGTACGAAAAACCTATGCTCTGCAGAAATGTAATCTTCTTCCGAAGCTTCTCCACCCGCGTGTTCAGCAAATGAGCGTTCAAACTGGTGGGCCGGTTCAAATTCTCAACTCCTATTTGGCGAAGAAAGCGCAGGGTAGGTCGAAGACAGAACTCCACGTCCGAGAAGAGGATACTAGGGCACCGGAGGATCAGGGCGTGCGATTCCTCAACAGAGGCGGGAAGCTCATCAGCTAAAAAGTCGAAAACGGGAGCAATGTCAGTGAATTGGAAGGTGTCGGAGAAGATTTGAGGGCAGAGGAAGGCGAGTCTAGGGAAATCGGAGTCGCAGAATCCCTTCGATTTGAGAAAATTGACGGTGACCAGGATGTGATCGACGGCATCGGGGAGGGGGAGCTTGTTGGGTTTGGTTTGGGGTTCAATGACGCCGAGAATTTTAAGGTAGCGGAGGTTTTCACGGTAGGTTGTGCGGAACTTCAGGTAAAAAGTGGTGGATTTAGGATTAGGGTTGGCAGAAAGGGAACGAGAGCGAGAAGGACGAGAGAAAGAAGAAAGCGAAAGAGAACGAAGCATTTTCTGGGTTTGGTGGGCACCGGTGGAAGAGAAGTGGATAACGATAATAACTGATAAATTCTTCAGGAGTGGAAAACCAAAAAGGTCCCACCGAGATTTGAACTCGGGTTACTGGATTCAGAGTCCAATGTCCTGACCACTAGACCATGGGACCTCGTCGTTGGACAGCTGCTGCTTTTTTATTCCATATCAGAGATGTAAAGATTTGGTTCGCTTTGTTAAGAACAGTTTTCGTCCAAAATTTTTCTTACTTAATTTTAAATTAGGATTTGAAATTCTCAATCTTTTTTTTGGGGGGGGGGGGTGTGGGGTTTTTGCTCGACCAATTAGATTCGTTTCATTGGCGTATTATCTTTAAACGTCTTTTGATATAATAAAAATATCTTTTCTTAGGATAAAACTAACCGCTGTGGTCGTTATTCCTCTATCACTGAACTCTCACACACAGTCCTCAGCTTTGTTCGCCTTCAACATTTCCATCGATGAACGCATTGAATAGTCTCATTAAGCCCTCGATTTCACTACTTGACAAATCCCATTTCCTGAAAGGCTCTTTCTTTCACCCCTTCTTCAAATCCAAGCCATTCTCTGACAATACACATATCTTAGGTCTCTATGAACGCGGGACCTTTCTGCTTCCCATCACTTGCACACTCAAGAAGCCTCGAGACCTCAAAAACAAAGCAAAGAGCGTATCGAAGAAGATTGTGTTATCAGAAGAGGTTCCGCCGCCCTTAAGGGAGGACGGAGACGGCCTTCCAGGTGGCGGAAATGGGCCACCTCCGGAAAGCTCAGGGAGTAAAGGCGGTGTTTCTGGGATGGGGAGGCTGCTGATGAAAAGGGTATTGAAGGTTCTGTCTAATTTGCCTTTGGCTATTGGGGAAATGTTCGCCATTGCAGCTTTGATGGCACTGGGTATGCACATTAAGTTTCTCTTCCTTTTTCTACTTTAAGGTGGCTAAATTCAATCAACAACATTTAATCCCTGAAAGACATGTCTTTATGACTTCTCTTCCCTCCATGGTTGGCCCTTCCTATTGGACCAAATTATATAGTTAGTGCTTTGAGGTAATAATATGAAACACCTCTAGTGGGATATAAATTTGAAGGGACTAATCTGTACATTAGAATAAGTTCAATTTAAAAGCGTAAAGAGGTATATTTCTTAAAATTTATGTTTACTTACAAAGATATTTTTAAAATGACATTCGCGTTAATAATTTATAGAACAGTTGCATTAAATAAAAACGAAGTACCTTTGCTGTCAGGAAGAAATAAAGACGGACTTCGTTGAAGGATGAAGATGTCAATTACTTAAAGGCCTACGTAATGGGAAAATTTTAAAAACACTAGGATGCTCCTTTTCCTTGTTAATTAAAAGATATGCACATTCAACTTCGTTTGGAAAGAATGTGCATTATTTTTTGGGAAAAAAATTGTGAATGAACTTGGTGAAAGAAATGTTATTGTGACTTTCGCGTTTGTCAATGTGCTTTACTATTACCAAAGCGACTAATAGGAGTCTTCTGTGATAGGAACCGTTATTGATCAAGGCGAGGCGCCGGATTTCTATTTCCAGAAATTCCCTGAAGATCATCCTGTGCTAGGATTTTTTACTTGGAGATGGGTTCTCACCCTTGGTTTTGATCACATGTTCTCATCGCCTGTATTTCTTGGATTGTTGGTTCTTTTTGGTGCATCCCTTATGGCCTGCACTTATACAACACAGATCCCGCTTGTAAAGGTCGCAAGAAGGTTGGGCCGTGAGTTACAGATTTTACATGTCTGAGATGGGATGTGTGTGTGTGTGTGTGGTTTTTGGTTACTAAAGGTCTAATTTATTTCATAGATGGTCATTTTTTCACTCTGCTGAGACCATCCGTAAGCAGGAATTTTCAGAAATGTTGCCAAGAGCATCAGTCCAAGATGTGGGCACCATACTGATGGGAGCTGGATACGAGGTTATTACTTCAAAACTCTGCAATTTGTTTTTCCCACTAACCTTTACGTCTACTTTGCACTTTTGCCTTGCTCTTAATGATAAAACTGCCTTGTCGGGGTTGATGTCTGTCAAAATCACGTGCAAACATTGAAATTATTTCCTTGTTACCAGCAGAATATACCAAATCCTTTTCCAAGACTTCCTAAATATATTTTCAGGTTCTTAACTAAAGGGTATCCTTCCTTCAAATTTATTATTCCAAGCGTGGCCGGCTAAAACTTTTATGCTTTTAATTGGTTTTCCTTTATTGTGTCATTGAAGCTTAATCTTTGTTAAATAAATGATTGACAGCAGTAAGGAAGATACTTTAGAATTTTCAAAATGAACTCAGTTTAGGGGAAAAATAAGAGGTTCCGATTCAATTTTAGATGCCCCAAGACAAGTGGTGAAGTGATTTGCTATTGACCGAGGAATAATAATTCTTAGTTACCAGCCAACTATAAACTTGAATATCTTTCTCCCCATCTGAACTGGACTACTTTTGATATTGGATTAAAGGTATTCTTGAAAGGCCCCTCTCTATATGCTTTTAGGGGGCTTGCTGGTCGGCTGGCCCCCATTGGCGTACATTTAGCAATGCTGTTCATAATGGCTGGAGGAACGCTCAGTGCAACTGGGAGCTTTAGAGGTTCAGTCACAGTGCCCCAGGGATTGAACTTTGTTGTGGGAGATGTTCTGGGTCCATCTGGGTTTCTCTCTTCTCCCACAGAAGCCTTCAATACAGAAGTTCATGTTAACAAATTCTACATGGATTACTATGATAGTGGAGAGGTAAATCTTGGTTTCTAAGAACTTTCTTATAATTATAATTATTTTTTTTTATCTGGAAGAAACCTTATTGTGATGAGCAACATTTTATATTACAGTGGTGGGCTTGCAAAATTCTTATCTGATTACTATCAGTCTTATAGTGAATATGAAATTCTCAGTTTTACTTGCTTGAACTGGCTGCTTAATTTGTTATTTACATTTTGGTTTGTTACAGGTTTCACAGTTCCACACTGACCTTTCTCTCTTTGACATAAATGGGAAGGAAGTATTGCGGAAAACAATTAGTGTAAATGATCCTTTAAGATATGCTGGCATCACTATATACCAAACGGATTGGAGTTTTTCAGCACTGCAAATTCTGAAGGACAACGAAGGACCTTATAACTTGGCTATGGCGCCTCTACAGATCAACGGAGATAAGAAACTGTATGGTACCTTTTTACCAGTCGGTGATGTTAACTCACCTGATGTGAAGGGAATGTAAGTATTTGAGTTGTAGCTATATAGTTTTTTATATCTTTACCTTTTATTGTAGATATCAGATAAGGCTTCTCTAAATCTTCGGTTATGCATGATAATATGAAAAGTTGTACCAACACTAAGGTATTACTTTCAGTGTTTGCAAGCTTAAGGGCACGTTCCTTCCAATTATTTTTTTAATTTCCATTTTAATTTACAAGCAAGGAAGATGGCATGTAAATTCTGAGAACAGGAAAAACTCTCTCTCTCTCTCTCTCTCTCTCTCATATACGCATACATAAATATCATCTAGAAATTAATCGTGAACATACTAGTGTTGTAAACAGTGATAAAGGCGAGTAGTCGCTATGAGTTTCTTGTGGACCACTGTAAGAGGCCTAAACTTCGTAGGTCTTTCTAGCATGAATTGTATCTTGATATTTTCCCCCATTGCTTCTGCTTCTTCTGCCAAATTTCAGATCTATGCTTGCTCGTGATCTACAATCAATTGTCCTTTACGATAAAGAAGGAAAATTTGCAGGAGTTAGACGTCCTAATTCGAAGCTCCCAATCAACATCGATGGCACAGAAATTGTTGTTGTTGATGCAATAGGAAGTAGTGGCTTGAACTTAAAGGTGCTGCCTCAAATTTTAGCTGCTCCAAACTATTTAATTCTCCCTTAGCTCTAAAGGATTTATTTCTGTGAACATTACTGTTGCAGACTGATCCTGGCGTACCGATTGTATATGCTGGATTTGGCGCTCTGATGCTCACCACCTGCATCAGCTATTTATCTCACTCCCAGGTGAAATTTCTGCAAAAGATTTTCATGCATGAATTTTTAAGTGATTTGAGTGATGTTAGATGAAGTTTCAGATATGGGCCCAAAATAAAAAATAAAAAAGGGATTTCAGACATATAATATTTTAGTGTCACAGCTCTAGAAAGCCATTATTTCCTTTTCTTTTTAAAACCCTCCAGTTAAAGATAATATTTCTTAAAACCCTCACAGGATATTAAAATCTTCCAGTCAAAGCGTCTTCTTTCTGCAAGCAAGAAAATATTAATGTGAATTTTTGTTGGGGTTCCAATATTGATGTCATTTTCAATGCAGCAATTGCTTTGAACAAATGACATGAAATATATTATAAAAATGGCAAATCCTTGAAATTCGTAATGTATGACTTGACCCCAAAAAAAATTTGGCAACTAACGTTTGCTTAGTTGCTTCTTAACTGAGTTTCCATCATGTGCATATGAGTTAATATTGAACCGTTTGCTTGATTCTTTGGTCAATTCAAAGATATGGGCACTACAAGATGGGACCACAGTGATTATTGGAGGGAAGACAAACAGAGCAAAGGCCGAATTCCCAGAGGAGATGAACAGCTTGCTTGATAAGATTCCTGAAATTGTTGAATCTTCTGTGTCTGAGCAAGCTGATGCCATTAGTGGCTAGCTTATAGCTTTTGAAAAGTCGAGGATTGGAAGAAATAGCCATTTCATTTGAATCATAGCAATTTATGCGGATCACATAACAAAGATGGAGTCCAGGGCACTCTGATTTTCAAATAGAGATTGAACTCCTTCCATGAGTTGCTCAAGCATTCTTGGCTAATCAGCCAAACATATATATGCTATCGCTGATACGCGTTCAGGATATATTTTCAATTTTGTTGTTGTATAGTGCAAAATATTTAAGCTCAGTTGGCTTATGTTAATTCATTATGGGGAAGTAAGACAGATATATTTGAATCATATGTTTTTTGGCTGCGCAGACTGATTTCTTGATGAATATAAGATTGTTCTTTGTATTCTATTTGCTTCCCTTTGGTGTCATTTATTCAATTTTTTCTTCCCTAGTAAGGAAAGAAAGCATTATTTATGCATCCTCATATTTATAGTCTCCTCGGTCAACAAAAATGAATAGATATGATAATTTTTCGTAGTCTTTTTTCAGGGTGATTCTTTTGTTCCCATAAAGCACCGCTCATCTTGTGCACTGACTTTATGAGAGGCGGAGAATAATTCAACAAGAAATGCATAGCGTAGCCGAAACTTACATCTGAACCATCCCAAATCAACAGAGGTCCTGAGAATTTCTTGCTTTTATTGCCTTAGACTACAAAAACCCAAAAAATGCTACATTCGGCAGTATATGAGTATTGAGTAATGCATCTCGTTACGTTCACCCATTAACGGAGCCCGAGCGAAACCACTTACGCGAGGTGCAGTGCTTCTTTACGTTTAATGTCAAACACCTTGATAAGAACATCTTCAACCACCTGTTTGAAATGCAAAATAACATTAATCAAATTGAACAGGGAGTTCTTAGGGAAACGACGCAGCATAAAAATCTAAAATCAATATCCAGGCGATGAGGGGGAAAGCACGGGAAAGGCCCAAGGTGTGGTATAATGGGGGAAAATGAGGGGGTAATTGACGGGTTCAAGCTTCTGTCCCGTCTTACACCAAAAATGAAAGCATCAAATTTAGGGTGTGAACTAAAAAAAAATCGTTACTAGCAGCAGAACTAGCCTACATGAACTTGCTAAAAGAATGGGAATAAAATACAACAGGATTGATCACATTACCTTGTCTGGTGTGGATGCGCCAGATGTTACACCAATTGTTATTGGACCCATCGGCAGCCAGTTTTCCTTCTCGACCAGTTCGCCATGCTAATAGAACAAGGAAATTAAAAACAATTAGTAGCAGCTTAGGCCAAATAGTGCTAGCGGCAGATGACAAGATATGGATGTCTACATCCATACTTAGTTGCTTACATTTAATCGATATGATATCTTGTTTCCTTCAATTCTTTGCTCACTGTCAACCCAGTAAGAAGGTATTCCACGTAACTCAGCTATCTCTTGCAGGTGGGAAGTATTGCTGGAGTTCCACCCACCAATTACCAACATAAGATCCATATCTTCCTCCACCAGCTTGAACATGGCATCTTGGCGCTCCTGACATAGATTGAGGAGGAATCAGCTCCGGCGGTGATTAGACTGAACGAACATAAAGTGACCAGAAAATTGACACAAATATTCTATGCATTCTGCTAATTGACTTATACTTGGACTCAAATGGATGTTCGTCGTATCTTAATGAATAATCTAAAATAAGCAGGAAAATCAACGACTAAAGAGGAAAAAGAAAAGTTAAGACTTCAAACCACCTGAGTAGCGTCACAAATTGTATTGAAGCTTATGAAGTGTTCATTGACGTTTCCCACGCCAAATTTGCTCATCATTGTCCTCTCCACTAGTTTCCCTGAAAAATGTGTAGTAAATAAATATCAGTATAAATAGGTGTGTTTTGTGTTTTCAAATGAAGTGACGAAATGAAAGCCTGTACTGATTGAGGAATAATAACTAACCAATCTCTTCAGTCTCTCCCTTAAGCATTGTTGTCTGATTAGCAATGCCTACTTTTATCAGGTCAGTATCTGGATCAAAGCCCTCAGAAGTTGCAAATTTAAATTTCTGCACAACGGAAATATCCAATAAATAATTATATTAGAGTGATTACCACAGAATTGATCAGTGAACACGATCAAATTGCTTGACAAAAAAACCGTACCTCTAAGAAGGCATCCTTCGTTGAGCTGGATCCGTTAAGTTCACCGCCAAGAATGTAGTCACACACATACTCGGCCTAGACAGTTAATAAAGGTGCAACATTATAGCGTGATAAAAGCATGAAACGTTGTATAACTCTGCACACTCATCCAGCATTTAGAATTAACTGCAGCTTTAAACAAACCTCTTCCATATTCTTCGCAATGATATACTTTCCCGCAAAAGATGCAGTTGCTACAGTCTCCTCATGGGAATATTTACCGTGTATGATAGACGTATACTCTCCTTTCTTGTGCTTCTCAACAGTATTCCACACCTTGAAACATTTTATTGGAGAAATCTTATCAGAACCCAACAGTGTATGGAGTATGATAAATGAATTGATTTTAAGAAACTCAGCAAACCAAAAATTCATCTCTAAATATAGATACCTTTGAAACCCATGGGCAAGTTGTATCAACAATCTGTACATTTTTATCACTGAGAGTCATCATTTCATCCACTGCAGCTCCAAAAGCAGGCAAAACCACAACATCGCCCTTGTCTACAACACCATACTGTTTTTTCCCTCCCTCCACCGGAATATTCTGCACTTTCATCTCCTCTAGCCTCTGCGTTCAAAATTTACTAAGTTCACTAATGATTGTAATTAACTATAAACAGTGACACAACATCATCTGTTGCCTGAAAATATTGCGTGTAGAATAAACAGGACAATGATCAAGATAACCTAGAAAAATGACAAAGTATTCAAAGGACCTTAAAATCGTTTTTGTCGACCACAAAAACTGCATAGTATAAAATCTAATATCAGCCCAAAGATCGCGTTCTTAGTTGAGGACATATAAAAAGAATCTCTCTCTAATATAACAATGGAGGCTTACTTCAGTTTGGCCTCTCTAAAAAACATGCCTTCAAACAACCAAATAAGACGTTCCTCTTCCAAAATCAAATAACTTTAATTCCTCCAAATGATTATTAGAAGACTTGTTAGTTTTTCAGCCAAACATGCCTATCACGTGTCAAAGTAGAAACACCCAACCGGGTGCGAGTCCGCATAAAGTCGAGATCACTTATTGGCAAAACAAGAAAAACAAAAAGGTCGATATCAATCATTGCGACAATAGAAATATGCAGTAACCTTGTTAACAGTTGGGTTGTGAATGATTTCGTTGGTAAGCCATATGTTCTCAGTAGGGAAACTGTTTTCTCGCTTCGTAGGCAATTTGAACAGCTCTTTCGACTCCCCAGCAGAAGCCATAGGCTTCAGCCAACCTCACTGTGACGTTACCCCATGTATACTCATTTCCATTTTCCTTCAAAGTCTTAATGATGTCACCTGATCAAATTCCAAGCAAAAGTCACATCAAATGAACCAGACGCGATAAATGATACAACGCTGCATATCAGAAGGAACCAGCTCACAGATGTCATTCCTAATCAGACCCGAACCATAATGAGCATGATGCAATGGCTGCGGAATCTCAGTTCTATGGAAATTAAAGAAAATCTATCAAAGTCCATAATAGTCAACTAAAGCATACTTGTATACTCCCGATTCATGAGCTCGAGGGTCTCTTCCTTGTGACCAAAACCTTTTCGGTTGTAATTCTTACTCCTGGTTAGGTTCTTGCGGAACACCTTAGCATCAAAATCAGAATCCACAGCCATGGAAGATGAAGAAGAATCACCGGAGCACTTGACCGAGAGAGACCTCCGGCATCGAATATTTACGATCTTGTGGAGATTCTCCGGCAAGGCAAGGTCCGATCGCGTAGAAGGGAGACGGCAGAGGTGGTGAGGAGCGATGGCCATCAGAGCTGGAGACAGAGTCGCGCAAGTCAGCAGAGTGGGCGTAGGCAGTCTGGCTTGGACGCATAATATATCCGACGCCATCTGACTTCGAGGAACACGTGTTCCATGAATTTGAATTTCTAAAATCATTAAATCACTTTATTAAAAAAAATTATATTCTCCATATTTGGCACGCATCCAAATTTTAAGACAAACAATTACCGTACAATGTGTGTTTACATCATTACTAATTTAATAATTAGTACCTATAATTGGGCAACCTAGATTCAATGAAAGGATGATAAACTTTACAATTACAGATAAATATAAAATTTACTAATAATTAAATATATTCCCCGAGCCCTATATATAAAACCTTATTGATATAAGATCCTCTGTAAAGATAATAATAGGATATACTTGTTTCGTTCACTTTCAACTTTTTCATCTTTTTTATCCTTCTTCATCTAACTAAGTATATCAATTAAAGGACTGTTTTAGAAAATTATTAAAAAAATTTTTTGCATATAACCATTTTTAATTAATTTACTTCATATTATAAAAGTCGTTCGTTGTTAATGCACAGTAAAATAGTACTCCTTTCGTTTTTTATTATAAAAGACGAATAATCGAATTACGTTGATAAAAAAAACAGTTAAAATTAGTTAAAAACAATCAATGTGTAAAAAGTATAATTTTTTTCCAAAAAGGCCCTCATTAATAAGGAGAGAGAGTATGAGAGAGAACAATGGTAAATTATTCAAAGAAAGAAAAGTGGGAAGGAGAGAGAGTATGAGTTGAAGACAATAAATATGAATAAAATAGGAAATCAACACAAAAAAATAGAGACAACTTTTAAGTATCTCTTATATATAAGAACATATCATAAGCATTAAATGTCTCTTATAACAAATAATAAAGGAAATAATGTTTATTATTAGTGTTTGACTGAGACATGTCGAATGGGCTGAATTTCTCGGTAGGTAGGGGAAGTGGCTGAGGCGGTGGAGCTTAGTGAGGTGGACCAAACTGGAACAGATTCCTGTGGGGCATGGCGGCTGCCACATCTGGCGCGCGCACCAAATTACGAGGAAAACAGCGTCGTTTTGATGAAGCGACAGATCCTCCCACGTTTTCAGGAAACTAATTTAACCGCTTCTCCCGCCTTCAATCCCACGTGTCTTCTTCTTTATTTTTTTTAATCATAAATACGTGTCTTCTTTAAATTTAATTAAACCTAATTGGATCTCTTTCATTATTCACGCGATAAAAATGCTGGAAATGAAGTAGGATGACGTCATTATTCAATGGGAGATTTATCTAATCATTTTATTCAGATGTTTTTATTTTGAATATTTTTTCCAGCCAAATACGTTGTATAATGTGTACATTTAATTTTGTGAATTTATGAGAGTTGTTAGAGCAATGGAGGCATTAACTCCACCTAATTTAGACTCAGATTTGAGATGCTCATGGTCAAAGGATTCATTTGAAAAAAAAAAAGCATTTACAGCTTTTGATCCTTTCTAAATCAACTTAAACTCCTCATTTTTCTAAAGAAAATAAAAAAAAAATAAACAAAGGATTCCGTAAACTCAAGGATAAATTAAACTCGATTTCCTGATATATTTGAAATGACTTTGTAATAATATTTTATAATTGTCTGCGCCAGAAGTCATGGGCGATATTTAGGAATCAGGACAGTCAAAAAGAATTAGTCAGGAAAAAAAACATTAGGAAAATTGAATCTAAGTTGATTCGTCTGATTATTTAAAGTAAACTAGTTTGACTATGACCCAAACAAAAAAAAAATATTAGTTTGACTTATGCACAATTATATGTTAATTATATAGATATGAAAAACGCTTTTCTTCTCTGTTTTTAAAATATTGAGTTACATTATGTTCTGGAAATCTTATTTTATGATTTATGTCTCAGAGGTAGATGCTATAAAAAAAAAATATACAAAGTTCAAAACGCTGAAGCTGCAAGCAAAATATTATAATAATTAGGGATAATTAATCTCCAGGTCCTTATAGTTTCATCTGATTTTTAATTAGGTCCTTATAAAAATTTTTCTTTTTATCAGATCCTTTTACTTTTGTGTGTTTTTAATTAGGTCTTTTTTTTTTATCAAGTCCTTATAGTTTCACTTATTTTTTAATTAGGTGCTTTGTAGTTTTTGAAAAATTATTTATTAACTTTATTCTTTAAAATTAATTTCATTTTAAAATTAATAATTATATAATTGGACAAAATAATTAATATAATCATTTAGTAATTAATAAATAATCAGAATAATAATTATACTTAAATATAAATTATTTATAATCATATTTTAATTTTAAAAAAATTTATTATTATAATTTGAATTTTATAATTATAAAAATTCGAATTGAAAATAAATAATATATTTGTTTAACTAAAAATTTAAAAGAATATTAACATAAGATTGTTACAATAATTTATTATTTTTAAAATGTTATTATTTGTAAAATAAAGAATAAAAACTACAAGGACCTAATTAAAAACAAAGTAAAACAATAAGGACCTGATAAAAAGAAAAAAAATTATAGGGACCTAATTAAAAACCAGTTGAAACTATAAGAATTTATATATTAATTATCCCATATAATTAACAATATCTAGTCAAGCGCGCCAGGCAAAGAAGTTAGGCAAGTGTTGACATGGCTAGTAAGATCAACAATGCCGTAAACCAGTTCCTTTTGATAAACGTAAATGTTAAATGTATGTTTCTGACATTTTTCACTTTACTTTTTAAGTTTTATTTAATTTTTAATTCAAAATAAAATATATTTTGAGCTCTTTTTTAAATCCATATAAATTTTCATGTTATAAGAGACTAGTACTTTTTTTTTTTGAGGAATTACAATCAAGTCCTACAGAAAAAAATCACTAAAAAGTCCCAATAACAACTCCAACAGCTTATAATAACAAGTCCTATAGTGAGAATGACAACGTTTGGGACTTGTTTTTTAATTGTTTTCTTTACTTGGAACCTTATTGTAATTCTCTATTTTTTTTTTTTGGCTAAAGCATAGGTATCTTCCTATTGGAGGTAATCTTATTCGAGACATTGTCTGGTATTAAATGTGGGCGCCTCTCCTAATATGGATTCAAACATTGATTTGTCACGTTGTGAGGAACTAACTCCTTCTACTAGACTCAATCCCTGTTGGTAGAGAATAGTACTTTTTATTAGGGATATTTGGATTGTTGGAGAGGAAAAAAACAAAAACATGGTGGGTATGATGATATTAGGCTGGGCCTGGGTTGAATGAAACCCATTTGCCAATTAGAGCCCAATTATGCTCTTATTGGAATCTCTCTCCATCTTCATCTTGGCCTAATTGAACTTGGGAAGTAAAGTTAAAAGAAGGCTATAGCAGGAAAATGCCTGACAAGATACATCGTATAAGTTACTCACATGCTTCCTAAAGGCTAAACAAGATCAATTGGGAACTACCATGAAGAGCCTCGTTAAAATTCCATTTTCATTACCAACTTTTGCCTTTTGCAAGATGCAAAACTGGCAAATTTTCCTATACATAGAGATAGAGATAGAGTGTGTGTGTACACATATCTAAAGACTTGAATTCGAGAACTACGATAATGTGTTGGTGACGCGTGATGTGGGGGCCATCATATCCGCTTGTGTGGAGGTTGGCGCTCTGGCTAGTTCTGAAAGATATCCATGGATAAAGAACAGAAGCTACTCAAATTCCGATTCAACATTGATCACCCATAAACAGAAAAACTTCCTTCTCTGTTCTAATCATGGAGAGTTTCACCCTGCAATCACTGACCCTGACATCCATTCCTTCCTCTTTATCACAAGGATCAGTTTTGGAGGAACCTTCTGGTTATGTCAAGGTTCTCAAACATTCGGATACGACGAAGTACCTGTATACCACAAAGGGCTCAAAGCTCAAAGTTCGTAGCATTAAAGCTCAAGCCTCGGGTGAATTACTATCCTACGGCATTTATTAAATCAAATCGGTATAATCTTCCAAAAATGTTTTCCTCTCCGATCGCCATTGATCTTTATGAAATTGTTTTAGGTTCAGCAACATACAGTCCAAATACGGCAGAGGCCGTTCCTGGGAAAACAGATTCCAAAGATGACAACGTAGTATTTGTTGCGGGAGCTACTGGCAAAGTTGGTTCACGAACTGTGAGGTACACTTTTTACGGGGCATTCCAACTTTAAGTGGGTTCAGATAAATTTTAGGACCATATTTGCAAAATGCTCAGTATTGGTTCATTCAGGGAGCTAATAAAGCTTGGCTTCCGAGTGAGAGCCGGAGTGAGAAATGCTCAGAGAGCGGATTCGCTAGTGCAGGTAAATATTCTGGTGTAGATGAGAGTGATTTAATGGTCTTTTCTTAAGAGTGGATAGGTATGGGCTTATTTAATGCATTAACGCACGCAGAGTGTTAAACAATTGAGACTTGATGCTGCGAATGCAAGTGAAGGGACTCAACGTAAGTCAACATGCTTTGGAATCCTCATCTTAGTACTGGGTCAAGAAATGCTGCTATATTAAATAACAGGTTGTTTTTGGCTTTTAGCCCAGCTGTAGAAATGCTTGAACTAGTGGAATGTGATTTGGAGAAAAGAGATGGGATTACATCGGCATTAGGGAATGCATCAACCGTAATATGCTGCATTGGTGCCAGTGAGAAAGAAGTTTTTGACATCACTGGACCATTTCGTATAGATTATCTAGCTACCAAAAACCTGATCGATGCTGGTATAAGAATTTTTATTATTGCGTACTTGCCAGTTATTGTTTGATGTTCTGTAAACGTCACGTTCTTGCAGTAGCCCAAAGCTGAAATATATGGTTTTATAAAAGAAGAAAAAGGATTATTGAAATTTCTGATAGTAAAACCTAATCTTATGCATATCTTTGATGCATGAAGGAAAAAAAAATTGTTGAGACTTGAGAATAAGAGTGACGTGGACTAGTTCTAATTTTGTATGGCGCAAAGCCGCAAACTTTGTCAAGCCCTACGCATCAAACAGTCATAAAAATTATTTCCTTGATATTGCAACTAGCACAAATATTGATTCAAAAAAAATCCAAGCAGTTAAGTAATTATCAGTTTTTGTCATCATGTTGATTATTTATGATTTGCATTCAGTTGAGTTACATTATCCTACATGTTGAAAATATTTTTTTCCTTCGATATATCTTGCAGCAACCGTTGCCAAAGTAAATCACTTCATATTAGTTTCTTCTTTGGGAACAAACAAAATTGGATTTCCTGCGGCTATTCTCAAGTGAGTGAAGTATAATTGAGCGATAGCCTTATCTGACTCTTACAATTTGCATGATGTAGTTCATAGCCAAGTGATAAAGTCTTGGATATAAAGCTATATAGATATTTTTTAGCAGTTCGACTGATTTCTTAATTCTTCCTCTGAAGTTTGTTTTGGGGAGTTCTAATTTGGAAGAGGAAGGCAGAAGAGGCATTGATAGCCAGTGGACTTCCATACACGGTGAGTCGTTATGACACTAACTGCACCAAGTGCAGAGTTCTATGCTCTAATTACTACATTTCTTCAGATAGTGAGACCTGGAGGCATGGAACGGCCTACTGATGCTTTCAAGGAAACTCATAATATAACCCTTTCAACAGAAGATACTTTATTTGGTGGTCTGGTGTCAAATCTTCAGGTATTCATCACGTAAAATCACTTCATGGGTTTACTATTTTTTTTTTTTTTGGGTGAACGGTTTAATACTTATTTATGATGGATAGATGGAAGTTCTTAACTATTCCTTTTTCTGTCTTAAAAAAAAAAACACCATATTATTGTAGACAAAAGTGAGCTGTTACCTCTTTATGCGATTAAACATACTGGAATGTAGAGGTTTCTAAAGGATTCGGTGATAAGCTCTAGTTTTGTAGTTAGAGATTGAACTGTTTTATCTAATCCATAACTTTTGATTTCTTTCCTGAGTACAGAACAAATTATCTGCATCAGATTTGTAACTTTATTCAGGATGCCTTGTTCTCTATACGCTTGAATTCTGAATGTAGATATATCAAGTTTTAAATTTTGCTGCTCATGAACACGAGATACATGCTGTTATTGATCTTTTATGTGAAATACATTACAATCTCCTTTCTTCTGAAACAACTTGTTAGGATATGATTTGCTGACTGATATTATCCTAAATTATAAATACCGTATATTGAATTATTGCAGATTGCAGAGCTCATGGCAGTAATGGCCAAGAATCGTGATGTTTCATATTGTAAAATAGTGGAAGCAATTGCTGAGACCACTGCACCGCTGACCCCCATGGAGGAACTTCTTGCAAAGATACCTTCTCAACGTGCTTATGACTACCCACCCAAGGTATTACATTCCTTGCATGGACAGATACTGCATATTAGGTTAAACGAGATCAGAGGCTCAATTTTAGTATCAAATTAGAGGGTTTGGTTCCAACAGGTTTATTAACCTTTTATGGGATGATTCAGACGCCAGATGTAGCAGCTGTCGCTGATCCAGCACAGTCTGCTAGTGTTGTGGTGGAGAAGCCCAGCATTACTACTCAGGAAGAAACTGCACAACCAAAACCTGTGACTAAACAGCCACTTTCTCCTTATACCGTGTAAGCTATATTACTCACGTTGCCTTGACAAGAGATTTTAATTATTATTCAGTGAGAATTTGCTACCCTCTGATTTTCTTAACTATTGAAAATCATAAGGAATAGTGCTCCACTGTTATCTGTTCTCCCTGTGACAATGGATATAGAATATATAAGAATAATATTGTCAACCACCCTTCTCTTTTGTTTTTGCAAATATTGAGAAGGAAGCTACTTAAGCAGAGGCAGGAGACTCGAGATATGGCATTTTGACGTTCTACTCGTTTGCACTATTGTGAATTCAGAAGATTCAGTAGTTTCATCCGTTTTCTTCCTCTAAAATTAGTTATATAACTCTTCTATATGTAGTTTCATGTTGTCGTCTGGCAATGAAGTTAGGACACAAATGTGCCATATGAGATCCGAACATTTTGGTTTGGCATTTCGTGTGCTTGATTCTAGATAAAGGCTCCTGTGGACTGTAAGCGCATAAATTTTCTGTTTACCTTTTTCAGTTATGAGGATTTAAAACCACCATCATCCCCTTCTCCGGTGAAACCTGATGCAGTGCCTAAACCTAGTGCTTCTGATACTCCCAGTAGCGCTCAAGAAAAAGATGGCATTTCTCAGGCATCTGCCTCAGCAGGACAGGCAGCAGAGTCTCGCTCTCCATATGCAGCGTACGTCATTATATATAAATGCTTTTCTCAAATTTTAATGCTCACTGTTGTGTTTTTTACCAGCAAGTTTTTTGTTTGGGCAGCTATGAGGATTTGAAGCCTCCCACTTCGCCAAGCCCTACACCAAGCACTTCCAATGACAAACCTCTTGCTGCCTCAACAATGGAATTTGCACCCCAATCTCCAGCAGCTGAAAAAACTACATCTACCCGTTTCACTGAACCTGGTCCTTCTCAGGAATCAAAATCTTATTATTCTCCCTACCCCGTGTGAGTCTAATTTCACTTGTCACTTCAGCTGTACTTCAACTTGTCAGTTTTCCAATTCTCTGCTTGGTTTTCATTTTTGTAGTTCAGTTGCCCTAGTTCTTAGATGTCCTGTACAAACTCTGTTTGATTTTCTTCTTTACGTTCCTCTTCTCTGAGGCCTGCTATGTTTGCAGATACCCTGACTTTAAGCCTCCTTCTTCGCCTTCCCCAATGGCACCTAGGGTATCGCCCTCATTGGTGCCTGAGATTAATTCAGGTAATGGCCCAGTAACTCAGCTTCCAGTAGCAGATAAACCAAGCAATGACCAAGATCTTGATGAACCAAAGACAAGACCTCTTTCTCCTTTTACCATGTGAGTTTCTTCTTGCTTGAAGGGACTTAATCTGACTTTATTTCTCATCATTATATTCAGGTGGACATCTTGAATAAATTAATGCTGTTTGAATCCTTGTCTGTTTATGTTGGAGAAACAGTTATATACTTTGTTTTCCTAATTTGTATACATAGTAGTAATATTTTCGTAAACATCCAGGTATGAAGACTTGAAGCCTCCTGCATCACCATCACCTTCGCCGAAGAATCATAGTAATTAAACACATTGGAAGCAGGTAAGGTTATAGTTCAAATAGTAATATGGGATCTAAAAGGTAACAAAGCCGACACATGACACGATATATAAATGCAATTAGATATGGGTGCTCTGCATTACATGGAATCTAATAAACAAATTGCACGGTTCACAACTTATAAATAAAGTGGCTCACAGGCTTATTAGAATATTTTTATTTTATATTAAATGATGCTTTGAAATATCATGTTGTATCCAACAAGAATGTAGGATTTGGTTATAATATGATTATTTTAAGTACAGATGTCTCATTAGTTCTGAGGCTGATATGTGCTGAGGAAGCAAGTTGATGATTGTGATAGAATTGTTCCTGCAAACAGGAAAATCATGTTGGAAGAACCTGTGCGGCAGCTTAAAATAATAGGGGGAGTCACTAAAATGGAGGATTGGAAACATGTATAATCATTTCTTCCAGAAGTGAGCCGTTACTGGATGACCCTTTTTTGGCGGAAGAGAACAAGGATTATTCTTTGTGGCATGTAAAAGCGCAGCTAGTTCAGTTTTACCATCTTAATAAGTATATATTTAATTTAATATGAGATTACTTTAGTTACTATTTAAATGTGTGTGTAAAACTCCAAACAGAGATATCTGTCTTATTTCGTTTCTTTGATGTTAGTTGGAGCACGTCTTACTTCCCAAGTGGTTGGATTGGAGAGTAAGATCAACTTGAGTTTTAAGCCAAAATACGCATCAACGAGAATGAGATCACTGAACTACAGAGGGGAATTGATTACCTATCATCATATTCATTATTATAATATAATTACACTGTCGATAACTGCGGAATGTCTCTGTTTTTCGCTGATAATCATACCCAAGCTTTAAAATCTATCTCCGCAGATTGAGTGGAGTAGGAGTCTTGAAGAGGTGGAACAGCATATATATGCTCATCACCCTGTGTAATGTATGTTAATTACATACACATTTTGTTTCGACTTTTGAAAATCACGGACGAAGATCAAATTAAATTTTGATAAATACTCATGTTATTATACAAAATTGTTGCAATATAATTCACTTCTCATTTTTATACTTAAATGTTACATACGGTACACGGATATTATATAGAGAGAATTGTAATAAAGTTAAAAAAAATATTATGATTAAAAAATTCTAATGACAATAGAACAATTTGTAATGACAAGTTTTAGTAAAGAAAATGATAACTCCTTAGTTGTTATTGTAAGTTTTGGTAATTATTTTTTTTTTTCCTTGAAACCTGATAACAATTCTCCCTTATTATATGTTGTTAAAAAGAACGTATTCCAAAAGTATGATGGGTGTGGGCTATCATCAACTGATTTGATGTAGCCAACTTGCATTGAGAGTCACCATGCTCCAACGGATGGCCAGCAACGAGCATATTCATCCCAACTCTAAATTGAACGGACAAAAACACAGCAGATTCTCTTAAATTTTGTGCTTTTTTATTTCATTGAACAAGTTATGATGCTACCAACTACCTGGAAATTATTCATACTCTTCACTGCTACCCAATCTTAAATTGATAAACGCGTTCCTATTTAATCTCACATGTCAAATCTCATTAAATACAGTGACTAATTCTCTCTCTCTCTCTCTCTCTAGCTGTCAAAGATAACTTAATGTACTCCATGAACTTGGTTGTTGCCAAAAGCTGCAAATAGGATGATAAACAAAACACTTCTCACAAGATGAAAACCAAGCATGATGGAAAAGTTATTCTCTCGGAAGCTAGCTAGCCATCCATAACGTCCTTTCTGTGAACTTTTCACAACCTTACAATTTCAGATTCAGTGGTAGAGATGATAAGCATAACAATTTGCAGATTTCCACTAAAGTAATATATGCCTTTTTACTTATAATATCAAGTTGAGAACTCCAGTTAATGGTGCAAAAAGTAAAAGCACTATTATGGAAAAAGCTTTCTTCTCTTCTCCTCCTATGCAGCTAGAATAATTATCAACCGGTTCCTTCTACAAAGCTCTAAAACTAAGAACGATTAGGGATTAGTGGTTACGATGAAAACTACATCAAGCATTATTCAATCACAGCCTTATCATAATCTCTAATATGAAAATTACTGCTCGTTATGGGTGTGTAAAACAACCCTAGAGTAAAACATAAGAAGATTTATTGATTGAGTGGGTAAGTGCTGCATAAGCCTTGACGGCTAATGCGCCTAACTCTTGAAGTGAGAGCGGGATATCAGATTTAAAAAGTGGTATGAGAAAATATATTTCACCCACTTGAAGCTCTTCACTTGGAGCCACATGAGGCAATAGTGAGCCTATGTACATAGAATTTGAGCTGCAGATGAAGCTGTTTGGGTTCTGAGACAGAACGTACCCTGCTTTCAATGGCTGCTTCCATTGTTGGAGCTTACCATCAAAATGAACTATGCTCACTTTGAATTTCCAGCTAAAGTTTCCATATTTGTTTTTGCATTGAGAAGAAGCGGAGGAGCCCATCTGGGTATGAGTGAAACAGAGATAACAGAAATACTAAGAAAGTTCTGCCGGGGTGGATTTGGATATATCTCTGGTGTGAAGAGTTCAGATATATATAGGAGTGAAGAGGATAAAGGTGGCCTTTCAAGTGAAATTTCTGGTACGGTGAATGTTTTTGCCAATGAACATGTGCAGATGGGAGGATTTTGAGGTTGAAAATTTCGACTTTGGGAGATTCCTGTCTCTTCCTTTCCGTTAACGTGGGCCTTTGTTAGTCCATTATTTTGGATCTCTCAAATATATTTGTTCCATCATTCTTTCTTACAAGTTAGTTATCTCTATATCAATCTAAACAATTTCCAAAAAAGAAAAATTAAGAGAACTTAGTGTGTTAAATTGTTATTAGATTTGACCACGGTCACATGAATCGACCTTCTCCAACATTGAATATCCGTAATGGCCATGAATGACGGGAGCACAGGGGAATTTAATCTACTTTGTCTGCAATAGCAATAGGACCCAACAAGCCCAATTGCCGATCTCAATCTCTCTCTCTCTCTCCCCCCCCACACACTCACGCACTCATGCTAGAATATCTCATTATATCTTATGAATTGTCATATGCTTTCAATGACATCTACTGAAATCGTTTTTAACTTGGACTACATTAAAATTACTAGGTTCGACTAAGGTTGTCTCGGACGTCACGGTACCGAAGATTGATGGGAATGATTTGCGAAAGATATAAAAGATGGATGATTTTTCATATTTTACAGTCAAATTTTCATGATAAGTTCTTTGATCTTGACCCAATATTGCCACCTAAAAACCCAGATTCAAGTCAGCCGCATTCTTTGCGAAGATTTCTGCAACGTACAGGTTATATGACAACAATTCACAGGTACGTTTGAAAATCTAGACGTGGTGGCAAAAAAAAAAAAAAAGAACTCACAGCAGATCTTTCTCAGATGGTCAAGGCCTATTGAGCTAATATTTATGGACTCAAACTCTCACGAATCACAATTAATGAAGAAAAAAAAACCTTACAAATAAACATGATTAACACTTTTAATTCCGGCCATCAGAACCGTTGGATCTGGCTGTACTCTGCATATTCTTGATGCCTCCAATCCGCTTCCTTTAACGACTTGATTTGATTTCATGTCAAGATTCTACCTTCAAACTCTCAAAGAGACACATGGAAGACCTGAATTGTTGACAACATTTTTGTGCTTAAGTGAAAATGATTTTCTTGAGATTGAATAGGTGGCAGAAGGGGTTGAATTAGCAGCAGAAGGTGTGTGAGAATGAACAAGAGCTGCATTAGCCTTGATGGCCAGAGCACACAAATCCTGAAGCGAAAGTGTTCCGTAGGATTTAGAGAGAGGCAATAGGAAGTAAATGTGTCCTAATTGAAGCTCTTCACTTGGATCCACATGAGGTATGGGAGACCCAACGTACATGGATTCGGAGCTGCACATAAAACAGTTTAGGTTCTGAGACAGAACATGCCCCGCCTTCTTCGTTTCCTTCAGTTGTTGAAGCTTGCCCTCCATGTCTATTACGTTCACGCTGCATTTCCAACTCAAATTTCCTCCCTCACTTGTGTATTGAGAAGATGCACAATTACCCATATGGAATCACTCGCCAATTTTTCTTCTTGATCGCTCTCAAATCAAGGTATGCTATCGTGGGGTGTTCTGTGGCGAAAATGGAAACAGAGCCAGAGAAGCAGAGGAATATGATTTCATCTGGTTTTGGATGGTTATTTTGGGAAGGGAGTTCTGGTATTTATAGGGTAATAAACAAAGAGAAGATGACACTAATCTAGCGACGAAACAGTATCACATAAGGATTGTGATGTTGACAACGGGACATTCTTTGCTCTTTCCTTGCCATAAAAAGTTCAAGTAATAACTGTACACTCGCATGTCGGGCTTGTTCATGTCACAGTGTGGGCCACTTGAAGTCAGGTCTTGCATCAGCAAATTAACTCGGATTCTGTGGACTATTCGGATGAAGCAAGGATAAGGAAAAAGAAAAGTAAGCCATGTGTTTAATTTGAACAGAAGAAAGTGGGGAAGCTGGAAGGAAGGAGGAAGCATCCATCAAACTTCTAGTTTCACATTGTTACTCTGAATTAATGCATGATATGGGGTGACGGGTTTGTCTGACTTCTGAGTCTCTGGGTAGCTTTATGAGATGACAAATTTCCCAAAACACGTTTCTAGTGGATTGTATCTATCATATCGTTAAAAGTTAGAATGGACTCTCATGATCCTTCCTTCCCTCTTCTTCATTTTTAAGCCAGAATCCTACTCTGCAACAATCCATGCGTTGAGCTAATTTTACCATAAATAATATTCATGAAGCCGATGATGATAGTAATCCATCTCCAAACTACTATTAAAACTTGAAAGTTCATAATTGCAGTGGTTACTGCTAGAGATTTTATTGTCATTTCATATAATTAAAATTATTATTTCTAAAGATGAAATAGTCATCCATTTCAAGACATCCATCTTCCAAATACTATTGGAGTTATAGTTCCCGCCAACTGCGGTGGTGAAAGTTTTTTTAACATTTCAAGTCTCAAGCCACTATTACATATATACCCTCTAACTCTACATACACGGAGATTTACAATATGGTGCTAACGAAAGAAAATAATTATCAGTAAGTTCTAATGATAAGTAAATTATTGTCATTTGCTATCTTAGAACTTGTCACTACAAACTGATATGTGCAGTAATAACATTTTAGTTATTATATTTTTTACTTAAAACTTCATGGCAATTCTCCTCTAAATAATAGAAAGCTCCTTTCATGTAGTTGGGAAAAATAAACTTATTGGTCCTAAAACTAAGCAAAATATCTTATGTCTTATATTTAAGAGGGGATATTAAATTTTAGAGATAAAAATATATTAAAATATTATATTAAAAATTAAAATAAATATTATATGCATAACTGGAGAGAGTAGTTTGCAAGTGGAACATCACATCGCGTTTGTGGGTGCCCCAGTGGGGCAGCAGCGCGTTGTGCCTCCGGCGTTTTAGCCTTTAGCCCGCAGATTACATTTTGAAGTCCACATAACAGAAACCATATATCCCTTTTGGGGGCCGAAAAGAAAAACCTGATTTTTCATGTGAGCTAAATATCTATATCCCGGGAAAAGTAAAAAAAGCTTGAATTTTTTTAATTAAATTATATTTATCATTTTTATAGTTGAAATTTATGAAAATATGTGAAAATCTTGAACGAAGCAACAATAATTCAGGAAAAGTGCAAATTTAAATATTATAATTTGTATTAATGTATCTTGTCTGTGGGCTTGACGTTGCGCTGGAGTGAAATGTGAAGCACAAACTTGGCTTTTTCAATGCAAATGTACACGCAGTTCATGTTTGTGCGAAGACTTGACCCAGAAAAGAATGTTGTTGAAGACTAATATTAAGGGTCAAAATTCCCGCTCGGTTTCATTTACCTACTTTTTTCCCCCCTAGGTGAAGATATTTTCTTATTGAAAATAATCATATTCAAGGTACTATCAGACACTAAATATAAGCACATCTCCCAGTAGAGATTTAAATCTTGGTTCACTATATTATGAGGGATTAGCATATTCTGCTAAATCCAATCTTATTAGTTGGTCTCATTGGTCTACTTGTATGAAATGTTAATTAAAAATAAAATTAATATCATTTATAGTCCTTGAAATTTCTTCAAAATTTAAAACCAATTATTTGTTCTTTGAAATTTAATCTCATTTTGACTTTGGTTCTTGAAAAAATTACTATTTTATAGACTAAAAACCTTTAAGCAGATCAAAATAAAGTTAAATATTAGGAATCAAAATCAAAATGAGGTTAAATTTTAGAAACTAAAAATTATATTAAATTTTAAAAATATATATTAAATTGAATTACGTGATTGGATCAGACTAAGCAATGATTAGTGGATTAATCAGAAATGAGTTCAACATTGAGATGGATTAACACTGCTCATACCGTGCCAATATTTTTGTTAAGAAATACCGCTTAGTATGCTCAATGCTCAAATAGGTCATGAATCTACTAAGAATAAAACCATCATATCAGATAACGAACGCGATTAAAAAATTTTAAGCCATATTTGAATCTCAATATAATATTATCACTTAATCAATAATAGCTTAATTTCGGTCAAAAAAGTTAGTAGCTTAATTTCGCGTGAGATAAGTCTTCCTCCTAACTGTGTACACTTTATTATAAAATAAGAAAATATATACTTCACACATATTAAGAAAATTAGTTAAAATTATATATGAACAAATGTGTGTTGCACACATAAATATGCCTTATTAGCAAGGGTACTTTAAAAATAATAAATTTGAAATAAAAAATAGGATTTTATATTTTTAGTTGGTGGAAGAATTATTTGGGACGGAACTAAGTGATTAAATGTATCGAATCCCTTTGAAATGTTTGCACAGTGGACCATGGCCCATATAGGTATTCATCAATGGGCCACATAAATAATAATTGGGCCTAAAGGTGGAAATCTGACAATGAGGAGGAGAGTATTAGTTCAGGCCTTAAAAACAGGGGAAAAGGAAACAAAGTGTCACTTTGAACGGGAAAAATGAGATGAATATTGTATAGTCCCTACCAACTGGAGTTGGTCTAAGTGGTAAGTAGTTTGGTACCACTTAAACGAGATCTCGAGTTCGAGCTTCAGCATATGCAGAAATTCCTGCTAGGAGACTCATCTACCATAACCAGGTGCGCGACGCGGGTCGCATCTAGATGTAGTCGGAGCAAAGCTCCGGTGAACTAAGTGAGCAACAAAAAAAAATATTGTATAGTCCCTTGGGAGATAAATTCAGTTGAGTCGCTCTCTGATATTGTGGATGTACAGGGAGATAAAAAGGTACAAGGAGAGTATGTGTTTTCTGTCTTTTGCATAGGATTACATATTTATTAAGCATGATTCAATTTCATATTTTTTTCATATCCTTAATACATATAATCGTCTCGTAAATTATAGAGAATTAAGTTGTAGAGTTGTAAAGAAATCCAATAATATCAATCACGATCCCACCAAATCATATTGAAACATGCATTTTCGGGGTTAAAAAAAACCCATGAAATGGAACTGATTATTCAATACCAACCATCATAAACAAATGAAATAATGACTTGTTTGGAATGACTTATAAGCAATTTTTCAATCTTAATTTATAAAATACAAGACAAGTGTGTAGAAAGAGTTTTATCTTGGTTTACATAAAATACGCTTTTAAACACGTAAATAAGCAAATCCAAACAATGTCTAAGGGAAAACCAAGAAAAGTCAAATCATCAGTGTAAACTTATACTCGCCATTAATTAGTTCAAGAGTTAAGAAAGAAAACGAAGGAGGGGCTGAATCAAAATGAACAAGTGACAAACATATGAGTGAGACATCTCAAGAGGAAGCAGCAGAAGTGGGTAGTACCACAGAATTCCTGCAAAAGTGGAACAATGAATGTTTTATGCATTAGTTTAAAAAGCATATATGATTTCTTTCTTCTTGACGCAGACCAATCACACTACATTATTACTCATGACGCACACGACAAGAATCTCTTTTCTGCAAAATTCCTTGTATTTATTTGTTTCTCTCCTCGTTAATCTCCCCCCCCCCAAACCAACACTACATATTGTTCTAAATATACAATTTATTTTGTAATATAAATTACATTATAAAATGAATCTTATCAGAACCAGTATATTGATATTATATATTCTCTTCTTTTTTTTTCTTGGAGAAGAACAGTCTTTATTGGTGTAGATTTGAATGGTGTGTAAAAGAACAAATGCTCCATAATCAATTATGAAATGGCCGTCTTCGTGTGACACCTAGCAGTTACTGTACACCTTCCTTTACAAGCTTTATTAGTAGTGAATCCCTTAATATTTACAAAAAGCATCAAATGATCAACCACAACACACGCACGCACGCACAGATGTTTTAATGCTTTAAATCTTATGAAAATATGATGTTTACGATTGCATTGTTTGAGCGCTCGACAGTATAAACAAATGAAAATAATTACTAGCAGCATTTAAAATAAAATTTATTCTTCTTTTCATTAAAACAAAATTTAGTCGACTAGCATCCCAAGTTTAGAATGGAAATATCTTTGCTGATTATATATTTTATTGAAGTGAGTCTGCAACATTCATGAAATGCACATGTTGGTGTTTACAGTAAAGCTTTCTTCAGGAAATCCGATATTGTCAGTACTGGACATATTTGAAGGATAGCATCTAGGCAAGAATCAATTCGTTGTGGAGTTGGCATTGTAGCTAGAGATAAAACGGATAAGATAGGGATGATAAACCAAGATAATGTCGTTTATGTTTAATTTTAAGGAACAGGCACGACATAGGCATGCATGTACAAAAGCTTGATTAGAAGCAGAACTTCTAATTTTATATGCAAGATGGGGAATCTATTCCTTAGCTTGTTTGTTTAATTTATATATGTCTTTCAAAACTTTCTATTACACTGTGGTAGCTTGTATTTTATTCTCCATATATCCCTTCTAGCTTTCATATCACAATGAATCCACTAAAACAAATATCCACACCCCTTCATTCTTTGCGTCAATCATAAACATCCTATTGCAGTTTTTAAGGTTTTTTTTTTGAAAAAAAAAGAAAATAAGAACAATCAAGTCAAATAATTCAGTTCGATCTTTTCAACTATAGATATGCATATGTAATTAAGCTTGTATTAATGCCATATTCTTATTTACTCCTATAAATTTAGAATGAAATTTTTGTCCATGATCTACTCATCATTACTTGATAGATGTTGATTGCAAAATGGACCTACTTTGATACAAAATAAGCCTACTTTGCATGAATACTGAAAAGGACAGTAGCTTAAGGTATCTTGAGTCTACTTAACCCTATGTATAGACACTCGTTTTTGTGCCAAAAAACACTGATATCAAGAGTCGAATTCCAACTAATTTAGATCAAGGTGGGTCAGACACTCAGACCAAAAGAGCAGTAAGCTATCTCAATAAATACTTAGTACAATTGTATATTTAAAGGTTGGAATTAAAAAGCTCTAAGTAAATTAACACATCTTTTTACCAACTCAAGATGGCTTGCACAAACACCTTAAGGAGGAAGAAATCATTAGTTTTTTTTATATAGCAGATGAATCAATAATCTCATACACTACACTAGGTTACAAAATACTACCTACAGTTCTAAATATAAATATAAGATCTAGTAATACATCTTATATTTAGAATAGGAGATAATAATTAAAACGTGGTGGTAATTAAGGTTTACCGATTAGCGGGTTACAAGATCATGGAAAACTTAAAAGTTCGTATATATTCTCCTCGTGGGACGTGACTCATCAACATGCCTAGTATGTCTCCCTCTCTCCCTTCTTGTTGACACCGAAATTCCCAGGAACTTCCTTCATTATCATCTCATCAGCAGGCATAATTCTTTTCCAGTTGCTTCATCCACAAGCCACACAAAATCAAACCTAAGCCCCAATCTTCAAATCCCCCATTCCGTAGCCTCCCAGTAATCAAGTCCAATTAAATTCGTATATAAATACAAATACCTCTTCTTCATCTTCATGCACTCCTCCTCCTCCTGGGGCAATTCTCTGAAACACGGTCATGAAATACAGCGAGATATCCCACTTCAGCCACCCAGAGCACAAGCTCAGATTCGAGTACTCAGAAATCCCATTCAAATGCGATGGTTGTAAGGAAGTCGGCATAGGATCACGATACAAATGTTCCATCTGCGATTATGATCTCCACGTCCATTGCGCCGTACCTCCGCCGTCGATCAGCCACCCGTTCTACAGGAAATGTTCGTTCCAGTTCCTGAGCCGCCCGCCGGGGGAGATGGCGCGTTACTGTAACGCGTGCGAGAAGGACGTGAGCGGATTCGTGTACCACTGCGGATCGTGCGGGTTCGATCTTCACCCGTGCTGCGCGAAGCTGCCAATGGTGCTGGACGACGGAGAAATAAAGCTGTATCTGTACAGGAAGGTGAGCTCGGCGTGCCATCGGTGCGGGCGAAAGGGACGAAGCTGGAGTTACAGATCGAATTGCAAGAAGTACAATCTACATGTGGCGTGTGTGAGGGAGATGCTGGTGGAGAGTTGGTATGAGATATATATGGAAAGCAATAAGGGGAAGGGATCGGGGACGGCGAGGATTCCGAGGCTGAAGAACACGCTTCAGAGCAGCCATGGCAGTAGTGGAAGGAGTAAGGGGAAGGTAAAGAAGTGCTGTGAGATCGCCGGTCTGGCAGTGCAGTTTGTGATATCGGCGGTGCTGGGAGATCCGACAGTTCTCATAGCTGGGGTTGTGGGATCACTGATGTCACGAGGTTGATGAAGCCATTGAAGGGTTGCTTCGTGGTGAATCGGTTGATCAGTATGTACGTAGGAGATGAAGTGGTAGCATGCCATCCCGCTGTAATTTGCTCAACAAGTTTCCCCTTTCCTGTTTCTGATCAGGGAACTGCACTGCTGGGTTATATAACTCAAGAATCTGGAAAAATTAAAAGCTTCCTCATTTACTCATCAACTCATCTTCACACGCACACCCTGTATAATTTGATATTTGATATAGCCTCCTCCTTAACGGATCGGAAGAACTAGCCAAGTTAAAAAAGTTGAATAAATTACTTAATTCCCAATAAAATTGACATAATCCCTGAGATACTCTCACGTCTTTGATTATATATACAAATTAGTTTAAAAATAAATAAATGTGAAAGATAAAATAAAATTTTTTTGCCAACAAATTAATCAAGGTCTTACGGTCAAAACTAAGCCAGCAGTTCCAATATTTAGGATGAAGTAAGATATAAAAGTTACAGGAAAGGGCATTACATCTACAACATGTGAACTAGGTAGTATAACCAAGATCTCCAGACATACGTACAACAGCCACTTGTTACTACTTCCTGTATTTAATATAAGAGCTAGTTGACTAATTTGAGTAGATTAAAAAAACTAGTTAAGTTAATTATTTGTAATAAATATGTATGGTCTTCCTTAAAATATCTTTACTAATATATATTGACTAAAACTACTATATAACAAAACATTTAACATATATAACTATTACAAGGACTATCTAATAATTAGAAAAAATGAATAAATATGAGAGACAAAATGAATTGAGATCTTATATTTGGAATGAAATTAAAAGTCAAACTAACTCTTATATTAACCACAGGAAGTAGTAATTTGTTTAATTTGATTCATGAGTTTTATCTATGTATTTTATGAATTAGACTATTATTATAGGGAGAATTACAATGGGTCAAAAAAAAAAATACTGACAAATCTTAATAATAAATTTGAAATTGTCATTTTTTATTCTGAAACTTGTTATTACAAATTTTTTATGTTGTTATTAGGATTTTTTTTAGTAATCTTTTCTTGGAGTTGATTGCAATTCCCCCATTTTTATACTCATTGTCTGGTGCATTTATTGACAAGTTCATTTTTTACCCTCATTTACTTATATGCTCAATTACCCCGTCAAAGAATCAATATGAGCATTTCTTAAAAAGGAAAATAAATCTCAAACATATTTATTAATCTTGAGTTCTTGACTGTGGGTTTTGGTTCGTGCAATTTAAATTATTTATTTCTTTTTATAAAAGAGGTGCAAAGAGACCAGATTAAGATTTTATAGTTTGAATCCTTGATCGAAATTTCTTTGAGAAAATAAAACGGTGGCCCCAAAATGCCCCAAGAAGTAGAAAAGCCAAAACTCAGAATCAAAGACATAAAGGGTGAAAGCTATATATGCAGAAAGAGTGAGACAGAAGCACAGCTTTCAACTTTTGCTTTGTGTAAGCGTCAACGGCAAGGTTGATGCCAAATTGACGACTCCGGAAAGCTAATTAATCACCTCCTACGTATTATATATGCCGCGTGCTCAACTAATTCCTATCCCGTGTTCGATCAATTGCGACATAGCCATTTGCATACGATACTTCTAAATTTCAATGGCGTTCTCTTTCTGATTTTTGTGTATTGTTGTCGTAGGCAGAATGGGATGGTTTTTTTAAAAAAAAAAAAAATTCTCACTGTATATTTACGATAACTTTTCCTCTGTGGGGATGCGATCATGAGAATTTGCAGGTTTCAGAACATTGCCTCCATTATGATTCATGAATCACTGCACATTTATTCAGCTGATGTTTGCTCCCCTTTATAGTTTGTGACAGAACTAAACATGATTGGGTACACATAATCTCCGAATAACCGGCTGCATGAAGAGTCTGCACATCTATTTTGACGAGTTTCTCGACTTTTTGGCACCGTTCAACCTCGTAAGTTGTGTGCGTACCTCAGAATTTCAGAAAGTGGGTAGTATGGTTCAAGAGGTTTACAACTTTTATTGAAACTTGGTTTTAAGGTGACACCATTCCACTCCCGTATACAATTCAGCTCTTGACGATGAGAGCTTCTCTGTCTATTCTTTGATTCTCTCTCACATGAAAGTTCTGAGATTACAACGATCTTCACATACGCTGGCCCCTGCAATTTCTAATTCTATAATCTATAATGTACAAAAGAACAAATTTTCACAGAAAGGAGAAAAATCATAAACGAAAAGAGAATCACAAGGAGGGTAATAGCCAAAGGTTGAACAGGGAGGATGCTAATAACAGAAGCCATGACAGAAACGCCATAACTGCGGATATCTGGTATCTGCTGCAAAACTTGGACGGGCAATAAGAACCATGGGACTGCATCAGCAGATCTACAACACTCGCTGTTGAGCATGCTGCTGCAAGTGTCAGAACAGATAACACCTGCAACAAAATTATTAAATCAACTCTGATCAAAATTCCGATGTTCCTAGTTTTTTTTAAGGAAAATATAACTTGTCAGAACTTAATCTTTTCTCTACTAATATTTTAACCACATGATCAGAATCTACATACCCAATCTCCCACAACAATGATCAGCAGTATTACCGGCTGATGAATGGGACATTTGAGGAGAACAGAGTATCCATCTACCAATGCTAATGTGAAACTCCAAGGTATGACCAAACCCATAATAGTTACCAAGTAGCTGCGATTTGGGATGATCCAAGTTAAAACACAGGAACAAAATTACTTATGCAGAGCATGTGAAAAGCAAAGAACAGAAGCAGAAGTTAGTTTATCCGGATCATTGCCTTTATGAGTAAAAGGGATTTTAGTTTTAAATTTTCCCAGACTAATAGTTTATGATTCTGGTTGGTAAGAACAATGACATAGTTTAGTTTCCTTCTGTCTCATCCCTCGTTACCAAACTGCAGCAGAAGTTGAAAACTAAAAGAATACCAAACAATACCTTAAGGAGTTCAATCACTTCTCAGCCATGGAAATGGGCATCACTACATTGAATCAACATGCTTTGGAAGACGTTTAAGAATCTTAGCCTAGGCATAAAATCAACTATTCCACAGAACAAAAAGCGTAATCAGATAAATAAACTCAAGGTTAGACGATTGATCATGCTAATATATGGCTAAATTGTTCTGTGATCTCATTTACTATAAGCACTTCAAAGATCCTAAAGACTCCGGAATCTCAAGGGTCACACAGTGAAATAGCAAAAAACGAAAAGAAAGTACCAGAAAGCTGTGTAGCCGTAGAATTCGACTCCAAAAGACATGAAGAGAAGAGAAGCAGAAGAGAACATAGTCTGACCCAACCTGAGACTAAAGCTGGCAGTGGTACCGACAGAACCGGGTAATTCATCCATGCGCTTCTTTATCTTCTTGTTGCATGAGACGTTCTGAATCTAAATCTACTTCAATTTCAGGGTTTGCCTTTTCTTCTTCCTTTGTGTTTCCCCATCAATTTTCCCTTTCATTTCAGAACCATAATAGCCCACGCCCCTCACCTATGTAATCAGTTGAAACCTTCTGATATGATCTGTACTCACAAATCCCAAGAATGGTATGCATAGAAATTTCTCACCAGTTTGTTCCTCTTTCTAGTAACTATGAAACGTGCCAAGAAGACAACCAACTTACCGTACTTTATGGAAATTAAGACCTCTCTTTCCCAAACATTTAAATACTTTGTAGTAGTCCGGCAAGTTTCTTGGTGGAGATTTGGACTATTGCAATGAAGAAATTTGTTAAATGTATCATGAGGCATGACTAAGTGGGTGCCACTAAAAAGAAGATAAAAGCAAGATTTTGTAAATTTTTATCATCAACTTTTTTTAATGAACATATAATATGTTAAAGAATCATTTAAAAAAAATAAATTACCTAATATTGTCATGAAAAAAATATTCATGTTAGATTTAACAATTGCTCTTAGGTGCTCAACTTTCATCCACAAATCTCTAGTCCATGTTATTATTTTGTGATTTGCTGGTTGAGCAATAATGTTGTTTATATAATTATGATAGACTTGACAGTTGACAACTTGACACGTGGGTTGCTTTGCTCTTTTGGAAAAAGTACAATTAAGAGCCCAACATAGTAATCAAAGATTTAAAATTTTAGAAGTTAAAACTGAATAATTAGTATCATCATCATTATGTATACAAAATATAAGTGATAGAATTAGGAGTTCAATCCCCAGTACAATAAAAATATAAGAAAACATGGTAACAAGAGACAAGCCTGTTTTTAATAAAAAGGTGATACTAAAGTGCTTTCTTTAGTTGATGCTCTAATTGAACGTTTTATATTCCTGGATTTGAACGGTGGTTAACATGTTAGGGACAAGGAGAGAGCACTATGTATGTGGGTGGGACCATGGGGTATTAGTGGAACACAAAGCACTTCTCATGTAATGTTTGATTTAACCAAACTCTAAGTTCAGTCAAAGCAACAGTTTATAAAAGACCACACCAGTGCTTTCTAAAAGAATGACCTTGTATTTGCCACGTGTCCTACCCTAATGACCCCCAATGTTCTTGGGAAAGTGATGATAAACTAGGGATGGACTTGGCTGTTTTTTCTCACCAGGTTCATATGGTTTCACTGTCTACTGTTTACAGGAATTTATTCATATGGTTTCACTGTCTGCTGTTTACAAGAATGTGTCTAGGCAATCACAGATTTCAAAGGAGGTAACACAAAGTAAAACTACGAGTTAGTTAATACTTTGAATCTTATTTTATACACAACAGCTTATATCTGTTTGGGTCACTTTGTCACAAGTTGAAGGTAATATAAACGATCCAAAATTTTTGGACAGCAGAAGGCTGAGTTTCAGTCAGTCTCACTCTTTTCTTCAGGAAACCCTCAGTGGATCCAAACTTAAGAGCATGAGCCCTGCTCTCCCAACCAGCCCTGAATAAAAGTTCTGCCTCTCCAACAAGCATCGACCTTGATCCAAACGAATCCTATGTGTTATGAAAATCATGATCTGATAGGGCAGAAAAGAAACACAAAAGACTTGACATTAGAATGATGTTCCATATCCACAAGATATTTGGTCACATCCCAGATGGTATTTGATACGATTAAACTCGGGGAAAGAAAGGAGGAACATGCCATGACCTTGTTTTTAACTGTTACATAACCATGGTACGTAGTCGAATAATTGAGCCATTGTTCCATATCCACAAGAAGATCTGAGCCGTTGTTGTCGTGGAATGTGTAGAAAGAGCAGCACCAGAGATGATCAGGATCACTAAAGAATTAAACGGCCAAGGCATCCTCAGAAATCACCAAGTCTTGACTAAGATACCAAAAGGAATAGAAGAGCATGGACGCTATTTTGCTGAAAAGAATTCACATCAAGATTCACTCATAACTGTAACGCCAATATAGCCATAGCCATAACAATCTATTTCACCACGATCACTTATGACAGCTAGTGCAGAATCTTTAGAGCTTAATCAGTTAGGTGACCATCTGTAATCACTTGATGCTCGTAAACTATTTAACATGGGAGATAAGAATGTCTTTATCATGCTCGCCCACCACCAAAGTGAAGGTTAACAAATGCTGTCGGCAAGTTGACTTTGAAGTTCTAACGATGAATAGTAGTAAAATAATACTGATACTTCTTAAGATCAGAGCAGTGTTTTTATTTCACAGTTATCTGATGTCAACAACAGAGTGACCCAAGTTAATAGTAATTCTTTTATAGGAGCACCCTCCATCTACTTTTTATGATGCCAAGGAGAAATAAACTTCTTAACTTAGAGGCACAAAGAAATACTTCTTTGTCAATTTTCCACCTCTTTCTTCAGGTCATCCAAGCTATAAAATCCTTCCCTCGTGATTAAAAAGCCTATTCTTGAACTCGCTTGTGAGTTGTGGCTAATCTATTTAAATGTATTATTGAGCACTCACAGTCACATTTAGCGAATACAGGACAAATTTTCTGAGGACATTAATGCCATGAAAAATATAATTTTCTCTTCTTAATTTATATTTAGTTTGGTGTCCTTCATTAACACTCTCACTGACAGAAGCTCTTCATGAAAGCATCGAAAATAATGCATAAAGATGCTGCCTTTTCACAATACAACCACGTAATTCAACAAGTTCTAAATTTTACATAGAAATACTGATAAATGATTTCCAACTTTGTAAACACCAGGGTGGCTCAAAAAAGTTGGTAAGACCTGAAATAAAGCAAGAATGTTTTTGAAAATGGTAACCATCACAATCAACGGGTGAAACTAATTTTCTTTCGGCAGTGTTTATCGCGTCAGAGGGAGTGGGGATCAAATCGTAGAATTGAAGACGGTTGAAGGGTGCAGGAGAGGGGGGAAAAAAGAACTGGCCCATGCAGGTCTCGAACCTGCGACCTTCGCGTTATTAGCACGACGCTCTAACCAACTGAGCTAATAGGCCGTTGAGATTGGCTGGTCAAATTGTAAAATATATTAACAAATCTTTCAGCTACGGTTGACCCCATCCACTCACTGCAAATTAGCCCTCCTTTTTTTTTTTCCGCCAAATTACTCCTTTAATTTTATTTATAGAGCACTTTTAATAAATAAAAAGACTTTAAACTATATTAATTGTTTATTAAAATATAATAATTTTTTAATTTTATCCCTATTTAATATGTACACTTTTTAAAAAATAACTATAATAAATAAATGATAAAATAATATATTGATGCTAAAAATTTAATATAGAAACTTATAAATGAGACTAAGAAAATTTTTTTCTTTGCACCTTATAAATAGGATCAGAAAAGTATATTAGAACCAATATCCTTCCTTATTACTAAACCTAAACGTTTAAATCCAAACAGAGTGAAATTTTGTCCCTCTCTGCTCCATTTCATTCTCTTTTACCTTCAGTCGCTGTCATGCGTTGACGAAGCGGATAAGCATTCCTACGCATATATATTGCCAACCCTATCACTAGAAGAGGATACCCCAAGCTAACAATTTTACATGGCAGACACGGAGGCCAAGGCAAGCTACCTCATTAACAAAAAGACAATTTATTAAAAGCTAGCAAATCCAGTCTAACTTGTCCTGTTTTATTATTGGCTAGTTTTGCCCAACTTGCGGGCAATCTTTCTCCACTTTTCAGCTTTGAAATATGTCTTGTCTGTTTCCAAAATGGCAACGGCTACTAGAGCTTCTCCAAACTTGCAAGCTTTTAAGAATTTGATAGATGTAAAAGAGGTGGAAATGAAAACCCTCCACGCTAGTTTTCAACAAGATAACATTATTACATTTTCCAGGAATTCTAATTTCGCTCCGGCTTGTCCATATACATAATCCAGAATATATCTATCCAGTCATCTTAATTATATTGGAAGAAACAACACAAAAGAACATCACGTGGCCACAAGCAATGACTACAAAGAAACATCAGTTCAACTCAAACTAGATTCACAGAGACACTTGCATGTGCCATGCCATAATAATCCGGCCCTCCTAGCTATAACAACTAACAAGAGTGAGTTATTATTAAGAGGTGGTGGCCTTCGTCAAGGACTTCACGGTAACGGTGGGGCCGATGGTCGGGCTTCCAATTTCCACCTCAAACGTATCGTATCGTAGGAAGAGTTCCACCAGAATTACCCTCAGGATGAGCACCACCAGATCCTTGCCCGGACACTGCTTGTTCTCTGGGGTTGGATCCTCTGTTTCCCTCCCATTCGACCAATACACGTACTTGAGCAATCTCTCTCCTTCGCCCAAGAACCTGTCCCCTATGAACTTCTCTGCGTCCTCAAACACCTTTGCATCTTTGGTGGCAAATGGTTGGAACCCAAATATCATTTCCCCTTTCTTCACTTCAAATGCTTTCTCGTGGCTTTCTATGATCATGTCTCGCTTCGCCTTCCCGTACTGGTACGGTACGGGAGGCTCTATTCTAAGCGTCTCCCACACCACTGACTTGGCCAATGGCATCTTCTCTAACGCGTTGTAGGTGACCCCGCCTTCGTCTTTAACCACGCTCCTGATTTCTTCAGCTAGTCTCTTGTGTAGACCCTCCCCAGCTGATCCCACCCACTTCATGAGGGTGGGAACCACTATCTTGAGCCCGCCGTAGCTGTTGAAGCCCAGCACGAAGAGGAGGTTGTTGCAGGCTTCTTCTTTGGTCACGCCGAAGCTCGGGGCTTGATCCAGTGCTTCCGTGGCGGATGAGAAGATGGCTTTGTAGAGCTTGTTGTGGTCCCACTTTAGGGACCAGCCAGGAAACGGCACCGTATGGAGCAGGAAGTCTTCCACCACGTTGATGGGGAAAAAGTACCATGGCAGACCTGCATGGTAAAATGAAGTAGACTGAATTAAACTGTTCCACAAAAAGACATTTATCAAAATAAACGAACTACGCTACAAATTAAAAGGGTCCATTGATATGACTCTTTTACTTTCGCCTTTTCCTGATATTTGTGAGATTGTTTTCCAATCCAAAAGTTATACATTTTCTTCCTGGCCATTGAAAGGAAACATTGTCCTCAAATTAAGTAAACCATGTGCTATTTTAACAAACAATTGAGAATGATATTTAGTTATGTTGATGGGGAAAAAAAAGTATCTGTTTATTATTTGTGCATGATGACTGTTGTTAAATAAAGAAATTTGATCAAATGATGAGCGTGGATTTTAAGTTTTAACTACTAGTTTACAGACAATAATTTATTTTAATAATGACACTTCTCTGTTAAATATACGCATTACTGAAATCAATTAAATTTAATAAAACTGAGAGTTTGATTTATTACGCATCAAATTGCCTGAGAGAGGGAATAAGTGGAAGTAACCTTTCCAATCTCCTGTAAAAACAACTTAAGCAAAAAAGAATTCGGATCGAAGAAATGAGATTTCACCACAACTTTAGAAGAAACCGATTTATTTGTCCTTTTTTTTTTCAAATGAAGTCAACCGATTCATTTGTTATGTAAGCGAAAAACAGATGAAACCGAAGTAAATAAATATTTAAAAAAAAAAAAGAAGAAGAAGAGTTTAACCTGCAGAACCCACTGGAAGAAGCTGCGGCAAAACCCAGAGATCAAATAGTTTGGAGCCACACGAGCCGAGATTTGTGTGGGCCGGGTCTTTTCCACAGTAGTAGCGAAATATGAAGTTAAAGAGCTCGTTGTCGCTGATGGAGTTGAATTGCGCCTGCCCTTTGTCAGAAATCTTGTCTTCCACCTTCTGAAACAGCTCTGACAAGTGGCTCCGGAGGAGCGGAATTACCTGGCCATGCCGGGATGAGAGGAGAGAGAACAAGAAGCTCTTGATTTGTTGGTGCTTTTGTTCCGACGGATCCAGGTAGGGGCAGACACGGTAGCCGCCGGTGAAGGCGGTAGACGGCATGTAAGTTCCGGTGAAGACGTCGCGCTTCTCGACTTTCGACGTGTCGAAGAGGACGGAGAAGCTGGCAGCGTCGAGGACGGCGACGACTCTCGGATCAGAGGCGTTGAAAGGGCCGGGCGGCATGTTGGTTCGGAACACGGTGGAGTTGTACTTCTGGATCCGAGAGGAGAAGAACTTTTCACGGCCTTGGTTGTAGAAGAAATCGAATCTGTCGGCGATGGCTCCGAACAAGGGGAGGCCATAGCCGCCGGGGATTGGTCTCAGTGGGAGCTTAGAATCGGAATGGCAGTGATCTGAGGTTGAAGAAGACATAGTTTGGAATTCTCAGTGATGAAATAGCGAACGAAGTCGATTAAAATAAAGAAGAAGGCGGCCCGAAATGCAACGTGATCGATTTTAGCATTTGGGAGGATGATGAATCTTTGTTGGATACCTATTATTACATCATTTGTCTGATTCCATTGCCCTTTTTTAACAATATTTTATTTCTCTTTAATCATCAAGAGAAAAAAAATATATGGGAAAATCTAGCCCATGTGATCGGCGGACCAACCTTTCGCAGCGATTTATATTGATTATCTTTAATTTTTCAATCACACGTGATCATTGCGTTTTATTTTATTTTATTTTTTTAAACTGTGTACACATGGCTATATGTTATTAAAAAACACTTGAGATTAGGGTAAAAGTATAAATTTATCTCTAATTATGTTTCAAACAGGGATTTTTAACCGAATTTCTCACATTTGGACAAAAGAATTTATAGTTTATGATTTTAAAATCTGCTCATGCATGCGTCTTTTTCAAAGTGGGCTGTTTTCCTTTCTCTTGAATGAGTCTGTCCTGATCCTCCAATGAAGGAAGGCAATTCTTCACTGGAGCCGTCTTTCCAGTTATAAATTCATGCATTTTGCCCTTCGGACGTCGCTTTTTTATTGTTTTGGAAGTTTCCCTTGGTAAACATGCACGCCGGGAGAATAGTCTTGGACACGTGTCTCCTCGCAAGAGTAGAATTAAATACACGGCGTTGCCCTGAAGGAGAAAAGAAAAAGAAACTCACGACTGTTCAATTTCCTAAAAGTTGATATATTTACATATAAGCCCATTTTCAAAGGAAATGATCTCGTAACTTAGTGGCATGAATATTCCTCAATAAATAAGAAGTCGTGGGTTTAATTGTACTTGTAATTATAATCCCAAGCTGTTAGGATTAGTCGCACGATTTGGTGATATCCTCTGTGTGGATTTTTAATAAAAAAGAAATTGTGCAGAAAATAAGAAAATGAAATTTGATTAGCGAGCACTATTCATATGGGTAATTGCATGTAATGAATTAAATGTAGTGGGAGAATAATTGCTTAGATGTAACATCAGAGTAATTGAGAAAGAAAGTAGGAAAGCAAGGAAAGGCATATAGGCAAATAGAGAGATGACGTGTTTGTCCACCGAAACAAACAACTAAAACGGTTCTTTGCTATTATTGGGATGGATATTATTGAGATCATAACGGTGTGACTTCCCACCATTTTTAGTAAATGTATCAATAATTAATCAAGCCCATGAGTCTATAAGGGCGTTGAATTAAATATTTGTTCAGCTTTGGTCATTCTTCCATAAATTAAACTAATTGAAAGTCGTTGCCGACAATATGATATGATACTCAGGTAATAATGCACGCATCAAAATTCAACGACCTAGACAGCTATGAGTGGCTTCATCTAATTAATTAATTTAAGTAGATTAAGAGTGTTAACTAAATTAGTTAATATGGTATTTTTTTCTAAAACATCTTCAGTATTTTTCTTAATTTCCTCCCTCCCTCCCTCCCTCATACTTAGTTATTATTGAAGGAATATCAATATGATTAATTTAAAAAAAAAAACTGATAAACATATAAAATAAATTTTATCTATTTAATTAACATCAACTCCCCAGTTGAATTCTAGACTGGAAGAGTCTATCCAAAACTAAACTGTTATATTGTCGTTATGGCATTTTCGGGTCATTTACAAAGCAAACCATTTTTAATACCTTCCACAGGTCAGATTTTCTTTGGGCAACACTCTTCAGATTAAGAATTAAATACCTAGTCCTAATCTTCTCAATAGAAATAACTTGTAATTTGTCAAACGCAACTCACAATACAATGTCAAGACATTGTATGCCGAGAAAATAGACAATGTTTTTGGGCACATAATGGCTTAAAAGTTAAAACAAGACCCACACCCAATTCAAGTAAGACTTGGGCCAAACCCAATAAAAGAGTATCATCAATCCTTTGATCCCATGATCAAAACCCCAAAAAAAAAGCCCTCCCCTTATTTCTTACTGTGGTTATTCCAGCTTAAAACTCAATAATTCTATTAAAGGTCTTTAATGAAAAACATTATTACAAATATTTAACTTCATATAATTTTTTTGGGGGCATAATATCATATAACAACTTTTACCATGAAATTATTTATCGGATGAAGCATTCAAGCTTGCAATTTAAAATCCCACAATCATATATTTCATCAAATGAATAATAAAAAAAGGGGATCAGAAAAAGTCATGACTCGGATGTAAACTGTGCCCCAAAAATAATTGATTGAGTACCATAGAGTGCTAAGTAAAGATGCCTAGGGATTACTGAATTTTGATTCACCAAGCTTCTATGTTTAACTTGTTAGCAACATAACAAAGCAAATACAGACGATGTGAAATATCAACGCACAACCTTCTTGTCAGTAGTTAAATGGGAAAACAGCGTATTAAAGGTTACATACTTCACAAGATCTCACTTGGAAAAAATGTGTTTGAGCCGATGGTGTGCTCCCTTGACTATACTAGTCCACGGCCAGTTCCTCCAACCTGCACCCTCCATCACTCTGAGTCTGTCTCACTATTATGCCAATCTAGTCTCAGAAGATGGACAACTCTGGAGGCGGTCCGTATACAGTCATCCAAGAGAGGGGAACACGCCATTTATCAGCACCACTTCCTGAAGAAGCAATTACATGAAATATACTGATGTAAGAGTGAGTACATTTTGCTAGCAGACACAATATGGTTTGAACGCAAGAAATATTGAAATGAAGTTCTAAATCAGGTTGTATGGGGAGACATTTAAGTTGAGTATGGCCTGTTGCTAATTGAAGTGAATCAGAGTGAAAACATCAAATTATTTGAAACAAATAAATAAAGCTCACCACTGGGATTCAGTGTAAGGAGTTTGCATGCAGCGTCGGCTAACTGATAAGCATCAGCCGTGTTGTCACCCTCTGAACAATAACATAACAGGCAAGTCACCTTCAAACCTTTGGCCTAACACAAGAAAATAAAGCTGTTGATCAGCTGACCTGTAAGCTTTCAGCCACATGCAAACATAACTTCAAGTTCATATTGTTCATAAAGTACTTTCTCCGCAAGAAGTAACCCCCTTTTTATTTCTTTATTTATTTAGTTCAAGCGAAGGAGTGCATTCGTAAGTATATAATCCATAACACAGTACTACACGAGCAGCTGCTAGATTTCACCATCACTGACATTGTAAGTTGATCATGACAAGGGTCTAAAGCTTTAAACAAATGTATTGCACAAACCAGAAAGCAAAAGGCGGATAAAATAACATTGTTTCTAGATGACAAGTATTTCTAAAAGAAAGAAAATTTATAAATAAGTACAACAACAAAAATTACCTTGAGAAGAGAAAAAAGAGCAGCAAAAGGCAAGCTAGCATAATAATTTTCTTCTTCCAATTCATCCTCTAAAGGAGAGATTTCTTCCCCAGTTGCATTTCCTTCAGCAAAATCGCTAAGATATTTCCAATGCTTCTGAGAAGGGTCGTATTCCTGAAGTTTCTTCCACCCAAGTTGTTCACACTTTTCATCCACTCCATCCCCGCTGGCACTAGAGAGGTAATATATCTGCAAACCACTAAAGAGATAGTATACATATCAGATATTAAATACGATGCAGTTTGCAGTTGCTAATGATATTACATGGCTGGATTCTTGCAAATTACAATATTGTCAAGGTGATTCAGTTAAGATATGGTCTTGACAAAGCTATAATTTTAACGACAAACAAAGTGCAATGCATCAGAAGGGTGTACCTTGACATGTCAACTCTTTTCCACTTCCCAAAGTCTAAGCTGGAGAGCAAAACAATATGCTTCTTTCCACAAACAGCAACAAAATCAGACAAGTTCTTTGCAAATTCAAGCATCATACCCTGCTCCAATGAAGACATAAAATTTAAAAAATTTTCCCTCTCCACTCCAAATTACTGGTGCCAGTTAGGGTGATAAAAGGATCTATACATCAAGAGTGAAACTATCATCAAGGCGAAGCAAAGCATAGACACAAGAAGAACAATAGTAAGCTAAATTATAAAGCAAGCAGTAAGTCCATGTTAGCTTTGAAACAGAAAATGAGGTGAAAGTCATGCATAACATTCCTCAGATCTTCAGTAAAATGGATATGCATGTCGTAGACGAGCTTGGATGCGTAACGGGACAGTCATGATATCCAGAATGTGCATGCTTAAAAGCACCAGTCAGTAGTGAATCATGTTAAAGCTAAAATGTGAAACCCTGAAAGAGATGACGATATTCAATGGAATCAATTTAAACGAGAGGATTTGGGCTCGAGTGATACCTTAACGACTGGGGATCTCTGTTGGATAATAGTGAGCGCATTAGGAGGAGAATCATAAACTGCAAACCCAGTAAAAAGGCAATAAGAAAGAGTTGGCTATTTTTAGCGCTAGAATTTTAATGCATGTATTAAAACTGTCACCAGTCAAAACTCAAAACCAAAAGAATAAGGTAAGAATCACCTTCAAGAGAAAGCGCAAGGTCGCCTTGAGGAACTGGTCCGTAAGCATCATTCCCAACACAAGGGAGAACATAAGGATCATCCAAATATCCTACTCGTTCTGATCCCAATGATGAAACTAAAAGGTCAGCAGCTAGCTGCCCCACATTCCCAATTGACAAGGAAGGCTAAACACAGAAATATTAGCATTAATGAAATGATAGAACCAAAGTAAGAAAAGGTGAGCCAGTCCCACGATTTCCCTAACAGTGAACCACAATTTTTATATCTTCTTGATTCGCCCGCTTGGTTAGAAGCACATAAGGGTGAAACACAATCAAATTAGTAAATTCTTCGAAAGACTCATAGCTCATGGACAGGGAAGGTGAGGAAATGAATTCAATTAATTTGAACTTAAATAGAAAAGAATCGGAGAAACCCTAGAAAATCATACGAACCAAAATCAAAGTGGAGCAATCTTCATGAAGGTGCTTGCCTTCTTCGGGAACGAACTCCATCCTCGATGCCATTGCCGAAATTTGCTACTTTCTTGACAGACAGGTTAAACTTCCTGCTTTTGTTCCCCTCTTTTTTCCCTTTTTTTTTTTTTTTTTGGTGGGTACAAAACCTCCTGCTTTTGTTGCCATTTGAACTTCGAAAGATTGAGCTTTTGGGCTCGTTCTTACCAAGCTGGGCTTTCTATTTTGGAATTTCTTGTAAGTTTGTATTCTCCAGATTGGGCCTACAAGAGCCCAGTTAATGAAGCGACCCGAGATAAGCCGATATATAAAATACGCCGGGTCATTTTGTGAGAGAATAATCCAAAAATAAAGTGGGCGGATACCCATCAAGGCATCAAGTATCCACAGAACAGTGAAAAACAAAATAAAGGTCCGCATCCCCCCCCCCAAAAAACAAAAAACAAAAAAATTTATGATTACAATGGTATATTGAAATTGTGTTCGATATTATATCTTTCTTTGACGGTTTAGCGATGCTTGCTCACATTCAATCCGTATAATTATAAATCTATACATTTATATGTATCAATTTATTTAAAAAATTACATCATTTGTAAACCATTCATGCACAAGGTTTATTGCTCATTTTAAACTCCAAGCGAAGCACAGGACTTGCATTTTAGCTTTTTATAATATGTGTTTGATTAGTAAGATGAGGAGAAAAAAAGTTTATCTATAAAATTAAATGAGATAATCATCAATGTTAATCTATAAAAACTTATATTATTTACAAATAAAAAAATGTATACACCACGATTTCATGATTCATACAAATGCACAGGAACCGCTAACGCATACTGTGCCTTATTATTTTTACTTTACCAATACCGAATAGGGAAAAAACGCTTAGTGATATGTAAATAATTTATACAAGTGGTGAAGTATCTAGCTTTTTTGGCGAAACAGAGGTATCCGTATCGTTCAATTGGAGGTAAAATATCCAACTTTTTTTTTCTCCATTTGCTGTGTATAGGTATCTTTTGATTAAATAAAATCCTATTGAAAATACTGTTGGATACTAAATGTAAACGGATTTGAAACTTGGTCCAACTTATTTATACTCATTTATGCACACTTGTCATCATGGTGACTAAGGTACATGGGCTTCAAATGGTGTGTTAATGTAATATTAAATAACTGAGGAGATAAGTGAGATAATTAGAAGGGATTATGATAGATCTCTAGAAATTGCATAATCATAGAGACACATGCCAACATTATCGTCTGATAATAACCTCAAGCTGAAGTTGGTATTGCACAGGACCAGACACGTATACATATAGCCACAGCTAAGTCTAGAATCTGTTGAATGAATTATGTCAACCCCTCCGTTGTCATCAAAGCTAAGAGGCTTATCCTACAATAATAATTATCCCACATGAATGATGATCGACCCGGCAATTAATCCATTAAGAGCACATATGCAGACACTAAGCAAGCCCCAGATGGGCTATCCAAAGAAGAGCCACCAAAAACTAAATCAGTATTATAAAAATCTAATCTTTTAATTAATTCATCAATACTTAGACACATATAATTAATCAATCCTCTTCACATTAATTTAAGGTCCGAGAGTTACATATATATGTCCTTCACATTGGATTCAAAAGTAGTATTAATTTGCATCTAAATCATTATAATAAATAATACTCCCTCTTATCTCCAATATAATAATTAGCTGGGCTATTGAGTTTATTTTAAATGTAAGATCTAGAATTTACTTTCTCTCCCATATATATTCATTATTTTTTTTATTTTTTTCTTAAACCATTTTAGCTAACTTATAAATTGATATATAAGCTAATATTTTACGGAGGAATTTTAGGGGGATTGGGTCATATTTGTTATAATTAGTTTATTTATTTGATTTCTTAATCTGCTCAAACTAATTAAATACCTTTTGTATTAAAAATTAGAAGGTGATTGTAAAAGAAAAAGAAGAGAGGATATAAATGATAGATGGTGTTGTGAATAATAAGGTGATGGGTGGATGATGTGAGAAGAGGGAGTTGCATGATGAATGTGGGATATTTTATTTGTGGATAACTAGTAAAGGATGGAGAATATTATGGGGTTTGTTTGGATAGAGGTAAAGCACAAAGACTGCTTCACTTGTGTAAGTGGTCGGAGAGTGTAGAAGGAAGCCAAGTGTACAGCACTAACCAAAGTAGGGTTCATATGTAGCACCTTCTAGATCTGCTTCCCATTGCTCTCCCTCTCTGATATTTGTTTCCCACCATCTGAATCAATCATTCATACAGCTCCAATCAACCTCCTACTGGACCCTACCCCCTCACCAAACACTTCATTTAAATTCTCTTTATCATTCATAATAATTTTATAGCTTAGCGTGGTATAATCCTTTCTTATAATTAAGCGGTGAGGTTGTGTGTTTAATCTCGCTTATAATCTCATTAAGTTAGTATTTATTCTTCTAATTAGAGGAAATTTCCCTTCTGCCATTCATCAACTTGACGTATAGAACCAACTGCGCGCACGACTTTAATCATTTACACACTACTTTTTACATCATAATTGAACTAGCTCAAACAAATAGTTGCCGTCAGTATCATCAACTTCCATATTTAAACAAGACTATCTAATTACAAACCTTATGCTACTTAATATAAGAGTAAGATAACTAATTTGAGGAGATTAAAAAAATTAGTTAAGTTAGTTATTTATAACAAATGTGTGTTGACTTATTTAAATTATCATTATTCAATCATATATATTAAAACTACACTTAGGTGAAAATATAATACGATGAATAAAGATTTGTTGAAAACACATTATAAATTTTGAAGACAAAATGAATTAAAATCGTATATTTAGGACATTCAACTAGTTTTTATATTTATAATAGGAGGTAGTATATATAAACATACACGTAAAATGGCATTTTGGTAATTTTAGGAGGACAAAAGGTGGCACATCACAAGGACGGTCATTCCGTTGACAACTGTTTGCGAACATATGGAAGCCACAAATAGTATGCATTGGATTGCAGAGAGTGTGTAATGAAACCAAACGAGGTAGGCCAGAAGAATAAATGAGGCAACGAAACTTACCCAGTGTCAGGCGATGACCAGAATGGTTCACAACCTGGGCTGTCTTCCTCAGACCAACTGTTCACTACAAAGACATCGCCATGAATGATAGCCATCAAATCAGCAAATTGGGATGTTCACAGAGAGCTGAAGTATAGACTTTTCAACTTGTCTTGTTCATCCCTATATATATTGTGTGTGTGTGTGTGTGGTCAATATTGAATTTAAACTTACCCCGAATACACGCAAAAAGACCAGACAGCTCACTTTTTTTATGCTGGTCTTTATGATTGTCCATATGTTCGTGTGTTCTGAAATGAAAGAAGGCGCAATTCAAGATAATCTAAGCTTATATAAATTGTTTGGCCTAAAGTTAAACCAATTTCTTAATTTCAGATTAATATAAACAAGCTCTGTGCGTTAGATCCTCCAAAGTTTTAACTTATTCAAAAGAAACATTAAATAATGTGAGGATAAGATTGGTTGTATGCCTGATGAACAGCAAGCAAGGTTAGAGAAATTTTGCTCCAAACTCTCTCATCATAACATCATCTAATGACTATTTTTGTGCCATCTGTGTAATTTGTCTATATATTATGTGTCTGCATGTGTGTACGTGGTGGGTGCGATGGATGGTAGCTTTTAACCTAGCTATAGCCGAATACACATGCCCTCGTCTAAATAATCAGCACTCAGACCTTGCTGGGGTTTAAACAATTTTTAATGCAACTACTTTATGTAATCCTGCCATGTTGTTAGATAATATAGGTTGCCACTAATTAAAGTATAGCATTACGTGAGAATATTTTTTGCACCAGCATAATCAACCTGTTTGAACCTTGAGAGACATGCCAGCCGCAATATCTAAACTAAATAAATTTTGTCTTTTTGCTAACAATAGTAAAAATGAAGAAAGCAGATGTATAATTTGGTTTAGATAAGTCCTTAACCTGCTATATATCGATTATAATTAATCAGCAATTACTATTAGTGATTACCGGCATATATATTTTGTTCTTCATGGTGGGATGAAGAAAGCATATTCTTGAGGTTCCATGTTCAAATGTGCAATTTTTAATAACAAGGATAGACACAGCAGAAGATAAATAAGAGCAATTAATTATTTAATTACTCCTTCGATTCTAAATATAAAACCCTTATACATACTAGTACAAGAGTCTGGAGTAATTTAATTAAGGCATCGGAATATATGATTATATGGATGAGCTGGGTAAAACTGTATCATAACGCTAGTTATAATATGAAAACCTATATAGTACATGATTCGATTGGGGGGGGGTCTATAGGAGATTTAAAAACTAAGAGAAAAAGGGTAAAAAAAAAAGAAAATCCGTGCAGAGTAAGATTAAGATGGAAGGAAGATGGGAGATTTAGCCAAGTGTCTAGTATAAGAACATTTGGAAGATGCATCATGAATATAGAAGTCATACTGACATATGTAGGTTAATGACGTTGGTCAAAAACCTTGGCCTGGCTGTTTTTGGCGACACGTAGAAGTTGAGGTCGTCCAGAATAAGGTACTAGATTGATTAATTTAATCACGCTCCACAATAGGACCCCCGCGCGCGTATCCAATCTGACGCCATGTTCATGCATCTGGGGCAGATTCCAGTCCTATATTCACACTAGCATTTCCGTGTCCATCAAATTGACCCAATCGCGTTTACTCGCCCCTTGTACGTGCTCCGCCACATACCCCTTTTTTTTAAAAAAAAAAATAAAATCGTAGAATGGTTTGCTATATTGAATGAAGTCGACCCGTTGGCGAAATTGTTTGCCAACGCACATTGAAGAAAAGCTTGCTGCGAAGGTAACCTCCTTTGAAACTTTGTTACCTTCCAACTACCAAATACTCCTTAATATAAGACCCATTTAATTAATTTGATTAGATTAAGAAAGTTAAGTGAGTTAATTAATTATAAGAAATATGATACATTTTTCTTAAAATACCATAATCATCTTTCTTAATACCTCATCTTCCTCTTTTATTTGATTATGATTGAGGGAGTATCCGTACAGGTAATTTAGAGAAAATTCATAAATATAAGAAATGAATCTTATCTTTAGGATCAAAACTAACTCAACAATTGGGTCCTCTATTAAGGACTGGAAGAGTAATTTTCTAACCGGTTATCGGAATTCATACTAAATTGTATTGAAATTTATACCCTTTTCTTATCTTTCACTAACATATATACTTTAACATATCCTTTTTTAAAAAAAAAAAAAACAAACTGTACTCCGTAAAAAGATTAAGGATGATTGGTCCTAATCAAATTAGGACAGTAAATCATTTCATTCCAAATAAGATAATATAGTATAATGTCTGTACAAGTACTTTAGGATAAAAACCATAAGTTAACAATTTTTTAATAAAAAGAATAATCGTATCACTTGCTATTTCAAAATGCGTTGAATTATATTGTTGTTGATGTGATTTGCCAAGAATATCTCTATATGCCGAATTGGGCTCTTTTCCCACAAGGGGAAAGTTCGTGCTCTGGTGTAAGCAGGCACAAAATATCGCATCTAATCATGTTGACATGAAAATAATAAGTTCTTTTTTTCAATAGTACAATTTTTTTGCTGCGATAATAGAAGTGGACAAATTTAAAATGTTTGATTAACATATGATTAGCTTGCTTGTTGGGGAAAGAGCCAGGCAGGAGTCATGGCATGAACCTTTCTAACGTTATATATAAATATAAATTATATATACATAAATTCATATCACATCATGTATCATAATTTAGTCTATCCTCATTAACAACTTGTGGCCCACATGTTCTTATAAGCCTTAGACATATATAAGTACCGATTTGGCACAAAATATGTCTGCAAGGCAATATCAGTGTGCCCTAACTTCTATCAAACGATGCTATGCAACTAGTACACAATTCAAATAAGGTAGAGATAATGGAAAGGCAGTCGGCTAATTTAGGAATACTGTCCATTTTTATTATAAACAACGAACTTAACTAATTTTTTTAATATTTTTAAATTAATTATGTAATTTTTATATTAATGACTGAAAATACTATATAGTTATCTTTAATTTCTTTGTGGGAATAGTTGTTGTAAGTCTGATGCCATGTGGGACACATCAATTTCATTATTTTGTATACGATTGATGCTTCATTTCTTCTTCAGCCTGCACAGCCATTTTCCTTTGTTTTTTTTAAGGCCGTTCTGGAGACCCATTCATTTTTGTTCCCAACATTATCTTTGTGTGAGGTGGTGATGATTAGGCTCGCGTCCGCCAAGCTAATGCTTTTGTGGACCCAATTTTTGCGGCCACTCGTGTCAAAATCCCATTGGACGACATGATCCCCACCATGCTACGTGGCAAAATTGGATGGATACTTTGGTGGCTTTCCGCGTGGAAAGGGTATCATGACGAGACGGAGACCCAAACAAAACCATAATTATTAATTAGTTACTGGCTCATAGCATATATATACGCGATCAGATAATCTTATTTTGATGATGCACATTGTAATTTTAATACTAATTTAAAAAAAAAAGATATAGAGGGTTGAATATTTATGGCAAAATATAAATAAAAGGATCAATCATACGCTGTTGAGCAGTCATAAAGTCAATATATATAATCCCTGAAAGAGGCGAAGGGAATTGAAGGATGAAAATAGGTAACGTTAAAATTGACCAAAATGGCGAAACGTGAAGCATGAGCAGCACAGATCAGTTACGCAATCGATCTCTTTTACTGGTACCAAAAAGTGATGAGCCTTTCTAGATTTTGACAAGACCATACATGTTTTATAGTACGTTACGATGTCAACATTCTAAACGCGGTATCGTTATATTCTTCCTCACGTGCTAATCATGATTCATGAATCTCACGGTTTGGCTAATTCTCATTCTGCCTCTCAGTTAAAATTACGCACATAAAATTAAACAACGTAGGTATATGTTGTACCTAGACTCCTATAGGTCAAATAAAATAAAGTATTTCACGGTATTTAAATGCTTAGATTTTAGACAAAAAAAAAAAAGATATTTTAATTTAATTTTGTGCCCTCAATAGCGTGTGAAGCCGAGGGAAATCTGAAAAGGCGCCACAGATTTAAAGTAGTAGTTAAGAAAGCCTCCCTCCATTTTGAGATCATTCAGTGAGCGGCATACCCGCTTTCCCGCTCCGTTGTCCCTTGATCAGACCACGTGTCCTTCATCTTCTCTTTCAATTTGATACCGAACTGTTTCATTCCTTCCCATTTCTTTCTATATATACCCACCCTCGATCTTCTCTCCCAACTTTCCTCAGCGCCACAAAACGCCTCTTCAACGTCCAACCAATCTCCCAAACTCTCTCTACCTATCTCTCTCCGCCTCTGTGTTACAGCTTCTGTTCGTTCATTTTCCTTTGTTGGATCTGGATGACAAACCAAACCGGTGGTGCTACCACCATGACAGTGGAGAAAACCAACTTTCAACGTCCAAAATTCGGGTCCCTCTTGCACTCCGACCCCACCTCGCTTTTCACCATCGGCGCCCACGACTTCTCCGTCGATGACGACTTCTCCCATCATCACCAGCGCCACAGCAACGTCGATGCAGCCACCGGGGGCCCCGAAAACGCCTTCTCCAGCGACAATAGTTCGCCTTACTTGATGTCTCCCTGGAGCCACCAAGCACCCGCCACCTCTCCCTACTCCAAATCTCCCTGGTTCCTCTCATCACCCTCGGTCGCTCCTCCTGGTTTCCACGAATACGATGGCTTTCCACCTAATGGCCTCATCGGCTCGCTCGTGCGTGAAGAAGGGCACATATATTCCCTCGCCGTCTCTGACGATTTGTTGTACACCGGTTCCGATAGCAAAAACATCAGGGTGTGGAAGAATTTAAAGGATTTCGCTGGTTTCAAATCGAACAGTGGACTGGTGAAGGCCATCGTGATTTCTGGCGACAAGATTTTTACGGGACACCAGGATGGGAAAATCAGAGTGTGGAAGTTTACGCAAAAGAATCCCAACTCTTACAAACGAATCGGGAGTTTGCCTACTTTAAAGGATTACTTGAAAAGCTCGATGAATCCCAAGAACTATGTCGAAGTCCGGCGGCGAAAGAACAAGGTTAAAATCAAGCATTTTGATGCCGTTTCCAGTTTAAGCCTGGTGGAAGATCAAGGGCTGTTATACTCAGGCTCCTGGGACAAGACGCTCAAGGTTTGGAGGCTGTCGGATTCAAAATGCTTGGAATCGATCCACGCCCACGATGACGCCGTGAACTCGGTGGTCTCCGGGCTATACGGCTTCGTTTTCACGGGATCCGCCGACGGTACGGTGAAGATGTGGAAGAGAGAAATGGTGGGAAAAGGGAAAACAAACCACCTACTAGATCGTATTCTTCTCAGGCAGGAAAATGCCGTGACGGCCTTGGCAGTGAACCGCGAGTCAAATGTAGTGTATTGTGGGTCGTCTGACGGGTTGTTGAACTTCTGGGAAGCAGACGGAAAAGGCAACCTGTGTCACGGTGGTGTTCTGAAAGGTCATAAGCTCGCCGTTCTCTGCCTTGCAGCCGGCGGTAACCTTGTGTTCAGTGGCTCAGCCGATAAGAACATATGCGTGTGGAAGCGAGAGGAGAGCGGAATGCACTCGTGCCTCTCGGTTCTTACGGGGCACACGGGTCCTGTCAAATGCATAGCGGTGGAAGAAGAAAGAGCAGAAGCATCAGAAGAAGATAAATGCAGACAGGATTATCATCATCGGGTTCTTACGACGGAGGGAGGAAGATGGATAGTGTATACAGGGAGCTTAGATAATTCAGTGAAGGTGTGGCGCGTATCAGAGCACGTGCCAGAGTTGAGGATGTTCCAAGGATTAGTGAATAAAGCCAGCGGCTCCTCTCCACCGGGAGGAATTAATGACAGGTGGCACTTTCAACGTGAGAATTATTGAGGATAAGTGGCAATCACGCTCTTTGCATGGACGTGGAATCACGCGGAGCTAGATAAAAATAGAGGGCTAGAGTAGTGTGTCCGTTTCGTTGGGGTCGCCTGTCCGTCAATGCTTCGCACAACTTTCCCTAATCATCCTTCTCGCGTTTGATTAGGTTAAAAAAAAAAAAAAAAGAACTTTCAAGGAAAATAGGGTTATGTATTTTTATCTTCACAAAATGCATGCCTCAATAATATGTTTAGTTTTTGTAAGATACTTCTTGAGAATTGTTAGCCTCGCTATAATTATATATTCAGCAGCAATGTTCGCCCACATTATCTTATTTTCATTAATGGGAGGAAAAAAATAACGTACAAAAAGCTCTCAGAAGTGCGTGCGTGTGAGTGAGGGCAGAGGTAAGTATGTAACTATGGACAGTAATTTGATTTTTAACTAAACTTTGAGGGCTCATATTTTTCAGTTAAATATGGAGTTCTTCATGATAGTGCTACTGAAATTTATGGTCTATTCCTTTCAAAATAATTGTCATTTGAGAGTGATGCGCGCGCACATGCATGTTAAGAAATAAACAAAATTTTAACTTTAATATTCTTCCGGCCCTAAATATAAGAGTATCTTTTTTAAAAATTCCTTATTTATTGTAATGTTTTAGGGCAAATACTTCTCATTAACTAATTGAAGGCAAGATAACCAACAATTAATGATGCCTTGAAAACCTAAAGTGAAAATTATTTTGGAACAGGTTATATGGATACCATGTATATAGATATACAAATAATGTAATAAAAGAGACTTACAGAAATTATAGTTTTGGTTGCAGAAGAAAGCAAGTTATATAAAATCAAATAATCATTTGCATATACTAATAAAAAACATAGGAAAGAACAACTTATTGATTGAGATAATAAGCAGTTTTACCTGATGAAAAGGAAAATACAAGTTTAAATCTTTGAAAATACACTTATTGAAAAGACTTTAATCTTAATACTCCCAACTCAACAGAAATTTAGCCTCAAGTCCAAAATAATTTTAGAATACCTTGAGTTATAAAAGAAAAAGAGGAGAAGATAATGGTATCAAATCATGAATATAATAAGATTATTCGCAGGCATTATTATCCAACCAACTATATATAGTTTTAGTGATAAGACAGTTAAGATAGGGATGTTTTTTTCGAATGAAAAATGAATCATTTTGATATGAATATGTGATATTTTCGGGAGTTTGGTTGGAAAAACAACGGATGGACAGTCGGGTTTGCCTTAAAAAGGGGGAGGGAATTTTGGGAGGTAGTGAGACGGAAGGGGACGTGGAAAGAGAGCAGTAGTGCCCTGAGACAAAGGGACTAATAGAGGCCTGACACGTGGACAGGACACAGATAGCAAAACGACGTTTTGGTCTGTGTGTTGATCTGCTGGGCAGCTTTTCGTTTTCTTCGTTACCAAGTTAGATGGCTTCCTAAAAATCCCGAAGAAAGGAAGGCCGTCTTAGCTCAGCTATACGTCTCGTGATGGTGAAGACTGAAAATAAAAGGCAGGCACTGGGAGAGATATGGCCACTTGAGAACCATCACTTAATGATAATGGTCGAGATGTTGCCTCATCAACTTGCCAATTCAGAAGAAAGTGACCTGTTTAGGAGCCCAACATTCTATGCATGATTGTGGTTTAGGAAAACTTTCCACATACACTCCCCCAATATATATATACTGACTTTATTTGTAGACTACAAATAAGATTTTATAATTAGGACTGAAAGTAGTATATATATTTCCTATATACGTACATAGATAATGCCTCATTTCTAGAATTGCTAGTAACAAATTAAAGAAGCACCCAACAATGTCGTCTCTTAGCTTGAGGTGCTAAACAATGCGACTGACAAGTTAATCGCTTATACGTGAGGAGGAGGCCAGTAAGGTGCAGAGGGAATTGCCATTAATTGCTTAAGATGATGGCATTCGAAATTTCACTCCTGATAATAAGCACATTATTTTTGACATCCCAAGAGCCAATTTAGCAGAATATATAATTCATGCCCATGCAGGCATCATATATCATTTGGACATGCATAAGGCTGATTATAAATGTGTGTATTATTATACTACCTCCGGTCTTTAATATAATATCCCGTTTGACTTTTTGTTTGGTCCTAATTATAAGACCCCAGTCCATTTTGTCTCTCATATTTATGTATTTTTTTTCAAAATAATCCTTCTAATAATAATAGTTCTAGCCAATACACTTAATTAACAAGGATATTTTAGGAATGACAACACTTATTTATTACAAATAACTAACTTAACTTACTTCTTTAATCTCCTCAAATAAGTCAACTAGGTCTTATAATTAGGATCGGAGGTAGTATGACGATAGGGTGTGTGTCTGGGTGTGTTTGTGGAGAGGGATGGAACAAGAGATGGAGACTGCCGTAAGGCGAAGCCACCGTCTATTTAATTAAGAACATGAACTTTTGAGAAGGAAGAATGTGTCTTTTATGTGTGGCTCAGCGAAAAGACGCTACATCCAAATATAAGACCTACCTGATTAATTTAAATACATTAAAAAAGTTTGTTAAGTTGATTATTTATAATAAATATGTGGTATCTTTTCTAAAATATATTTGCTAATCATATGTCTTTGCTAAAACTACTATGTGATAAAATTTTTAACATATACAACTACTACAACGATTTAAAAAAAAAAAAGATAAATATGAAAGACCAAATAGATTAAAGTTTTATATATACGATCAAATTCAATATTAAACTAGTTTTTATATTAGGAACCGGAAATAATACTAATAATTTTCTTTTCATTTTAGTAAGCAACGTATTGCAATTAAAGCTTTGGTTACTCCAACAACATAGCACTACGTTGATGCGTGTTGTGGGCTTGAATTTATTTATATCGTTAAACAACTCGACGGATGGCACTTGCATCACATGCACAGAGTGCTCTCTAAACCGTACAATAAGGTCACTTATATTATGATGCTTATCACTCATCAAAGTGATAAGCATCATAATATAAATTCCACTAAAGTAATAAGCACCAAAATATTTATCATTGTAATGGACATCAAAACTAGTTCCACCTCAACCACATGCTAGGTCTAGCTTATTGATGTGTTAAAAAAAAACATAAATACCATGTTTTTACAGAAAAAAAGAAGCATTTTCTAGTTTGCCTGCATTTTCCTCTCTAATTTTTAATATAAAAGTTCGTTGAGAGATTTACTTTGATTATAAAAAAAATTCTCAATTTACTTGTCTTTCATATTGATTATTTTTTTCAAAACTAACTTACATAATTTATAAATTAATACAGAATATAATATCATAAAGAATATTTTGGGGATCATGTGATATTTGATGTAATAAACTATTTTATTTGACTTTCTCAATCTACTCGATTAATTGATTATTTCTTATATTAAGAATCAAAGGGAGTATATGTGTTGACTTCGTCTTTGAAAAAGAAACACCTCTATTTACCCAAAGTCCCAAAGTGATGCCTCATTAGAAGACTAGAGCTTTTTTTATTATGTCAAGTTCTTTAATACTTGGGTTAAATTTTTTATATCTATTGCATTAAGTTCTTCAATTATAATGGGTATCAAGAACTTCACATAAATATTTTCATTTTATTTTTCACTAATACTGGTAGTAATAACAAACACTGGCAATACATTAAGCGTGGAGGTGTTCAGATTTGGGCTTCACTTGCACGTCCACTAATGAATGGGCCAATAATTCCTTTCAAGAGAGCTTTTCTTCAGGAATCTTGATGCCAGCCCTGCAAATGTCTTCTTTTGTGTGGGTGGGCTGAGAGTGGCGGCTTCTTCGTAAGGCTTACATATGGTTTTTTTTTTTTTTTTTTCCAAAAGATAAACTCATAATATCTCTAATACTTAATATAAGAACTAGTTAACTAATTTAAACAGATTAAAAAATAATTTAAATTAATTATTTGTAATGAATATGTATTGTTTTTCTTAAAATATCTTTATTAATCAAGCATATTGGCTAGAATTACCATTATTGCAAGGACTACCCTAAAAAAATAGATAAATGCGAAAGACAAAGTGGATTGAGGTTTTATATTTAGAATCAAAATAAAAATGAAACAAACTCTCATACTACCTCCGGTCCTAATTATAAGAGCTAGTTGACTAATTTAAAGAGATTAAGGAAAAAAGTTAAGTTAGTTGTTTGTAATAAATAAGTATTGTCTTTCCTAAAATATCCTTGTCAATTAAATGTATTGGTTAGAGCTATCATTGTTAGAAGGACTATCTTAAAAAAGTAGATAAATATAAGAGACAATGTAGATTGGATTCTTATATTTATGATCAAAATAAAAGTCAAACAAGATCTTATACTCCTCCGGTCCTTATTATAAGACCTAATTTGACTTTTTATTTGGTCCTAATTATAAGACCCAATCCATTTTGTCTCTTATATTTATGTATTTTTTTCCAAGATAATCCTTCTAATAATGATAGTTTTAGCCAATATACTTAATTAGCAAGGATATTTTAGGAATGACAACACTTATTTATTATAATAACCAACTTAACTTACTTCCTTAATCTCCTCAAATAAGTCAATTGGGTTTTATAATTAGGACCGGAGGAGTATTAAGAATTGGAGGTAGTATTAAGGATAGGAGGCAGGATAATTTTTCATGCTACTATTTCTTAAAGCTTGTGTGAATTAAGATATACTGCTATATTAATATCGATGAGATATAAATTTTCGTGGCTCCTTCCCTTGACCCAAAACCTACGTTGGAAAAATTGAAGGGGTTCCACTCAAAAATGGAAAATGACTAATAAAAACAGACCAAGCAAACTCGCTCTTCTGTCAACAAACACTTGACATTCTTATCTAAAGTTAAGGCCCAATTTGTCTTGTCACAATCACAGCCATTGACTTGTCTTTTCCAACAAAAAAAAAAACCCATTAATTTGTTTTATATCGCGTATTGTTGGACTTATCTGAGTAACTCCCTCAAAAATACTTTTTGAATTTATAAAGATTTAAATATGAGACTTTATGCTTAAACCGTTAATTTCTTTTTTGTCTGTCCTTGTTCGTGTGTATAATTGTGATGTAATATATCACCTGCCCTGATGTCTTTTATTCTTCAGATCTTAACAATACGACTAGACAAAAGTTATTTTTTATTGTGAGAAAAAATTATTTTAACTACTATTTCCGGTCCTAAATATAAAAACTAGTTGACTCATTTGAGTAAATTAAAAAAATAAATTAAGTTAGTTATTTGTAATAAATAGATGTTGTTTTT